AAAAAAAAGTAAAACACAGAAGCTACAAATTTACTTCCATTGCCACTTCCACTGTAATGGGTGCCCATGTGGCAAAGTAACACATTGAATATATAAGTACTTTATGCTAGTAAGCAAGTTATGTAATTAATATAACTTTTACCACAACACCACAGCATAACACTGGAGGTGCAGGATGTGCTACATTCTTGAATCGTGGTCTGGCACAGTGTGAACACTAAGTGCAGAGATACAGAAGAAGTCTGTCATAACAACAAGGCTAAAAATGGTTATTATATAATGTTCAATATTCTATAAAAGCTCTCTTGTGCAGGAGCTGTGTGGAAAGACATCAGTATTCAGTTATCTGGAACAGTCAGAGGCGACCAACGTACTTAAACCGCTTCTAATGATTTCTTCATTCTGACAGTGTCAGACGTAGAAGCAAACACAAGTAGCTATAACACCTGAGCCCACCTTGACCCTCTAACTGAAGCTGTGACTGTCTGAATTTCATGGTGACTCACCAGAGACCAAGAGGACTTCAGAGAAGAGGACTCATCCTGCTCACTGGTGTCTGTGTTGTCCTCTGTGTTGCTTCCCAGCAGCTCCCTGTCCCCCCATGATCTCGGCCTCTTCATACTTTACCCACATCAGGATACTCCACTGGAACCAGTGTTTTCCTCCCTTAGATTATGACAATAACGACTCACTGCCATCCTGAAGCCAATCTGAAATGTAGCCCACCTTATCCTTGGAATATACCTTCCCAGGCATAAATACTGATACTCTATCTCACACTGATGGAGTTTATGCAACAGTGTCATAAACTTTGTCATCCTTTTCTTGGGTAAACTTTGTAGGATATGCATTTGTGCTCCTGCCATCTAACGTGACACAACGCTCCAGCCAATGGGATGGCCTCTTTGAGGTGGCGGTGCGGGGCTGATAAGGGACAGCTGATTCCTGCGAACAGTGTTTTTCCCTGATAAGAGCACAAGCTCAGGGAAAAAGGCCGAGCCGTACTCTGCAACATGATGTTCGAGCACAGTCAGTCACATGTTCGGTACAATTGTTGCAGCGTGTGCTTGTTATTGTGCATGACTAATCAAGGGGAGGTGGACAGCAAGTGGCTGCAGGAGTCAACCAATGGGGTGTTCAGTGCAGTGGAACTCTACTACAAGTTGTTGGTATGTCGCACTCTACCCTTGAACTTTATGACATCCCGGTCATAGTACTGCAAAGATAAACAGGTGAAAGTCCTGAAAACGTCCTGCTTATCAAAAGGGATAATCTGTTCAGAAATTCTTTAAATAACACTACAGCTTACTAAAATTAGCCTAAGTGCTAATTTAATCATATCTGTTTAGAGTGGATACATTCATGTGACTGTCATCCAAGCAGTGGTGAATTCAGATATGTTTTTGTCATCAGAACATTCTCTGTGGTGCGAATTCCATCATCCTCCTGCCTGGTTTAGCTCCCAAGTGAGTTCATGAGAAAACATAATTCATGAGGCTCCTTCATAAAGGCCTCATCCCCACTCTCCCATCTGCTAAGCCTTTTGTAAACAAAACCAGTGAAAACAGAGGCCCACTGAGAAGAGCGCTGTTGGTTCATCGTCGTCCTGTGTTAGTGTCTGTTCTTTCTCCATTCATGGCTCTTGTCAATTTCTTTATAAAATACTTTCCTTTTAGACGTGAAAATAACATGACTTGTAATGAGTTGCGGCATTGACCTAATACACTTAGACAGAATAAACATTGTACTACATAATGCACATGAGTATTATGGTTCTAATTTCACTCTAACTTGATTATTATGGTCTACGTGTGTGAATCTCAAGCACAGTTCCTTCAGTGGGTGACAAAGCCTTGAGTCCTGCGACTAAACGAGACCACACAAGGTTCATGTTACACTCTCAAGCATTAGGTTACACCAAACTGCATGAAATGAGCCTATTTATTATGTGAGTGAGACGGATCATGACAACCACTGCCAAAGACAAACAGTCTGGGGTTGCGGGACAGTAATAAAAAAACAACCCATTTTCAAAAGGAATGTTGAAATCGATTCAACTATTCAAATGCTTGTGTTAAGACAACTTTCCAAATGTTGGAATTTGGGGATAAAAAAACCAAAAGGGTCAATGAATTCGGCCATGAAGGACTGAGGCTACAACCCGAGAGAAAGTGTTTGTTTTTTGATTAAACAATAGTAGAACAAATAGATTTGTTTAGCCAGTCTTCTTCAGACTCACTTTGTAAAAACAAGACAAATCCCAGACTGAGGCAGTTAGATTGAAAAGTTAACTGTATAAACATCTGCCAGGTTATTAGGTATACTTAGCCCTGCAATAAATCCTAATATGATGATGGTAATAATGTTCAATCGTTCTTGAAACCCTTTTAGAGATATACTAATTCAATTTTATGGTAAATTTGAAGGATGTAGTGTCGCTGTTAATCTAATTTTGCTTTAGAAACAGGATGATTATTTGATTTATCACCTGACAACATTTTTTTTAATCAATTAATCATTGTAGTCTATTTCAGCTTCTAATTTATCAAATGTTAGGAATTGACACTTTAGGTTCTCGATTAAAACAAGCTAGTGAAATGACCTTTTTTAACATGTATCCTCTACCTATTTACTGACGTTAAAGACAAAATGCACATTCAGGAAAATAACTAGATTATTACATCGATTAATTGATAGTGAAGACAGTTCAGGGTCAACACCTCCACCAATTCCAGCCTCTAAATGGCGATTACACCTTTTTGAAAAACACTCTGAACAAGAACTGGGCTGTTATGACTGGATTTACAGGCTGTTGTGTTGGGACTCCAGTAAAGTGGTCTGAAGGCTCACACGTGTCATAACAGCTCATTTAAGGTTTTGTAAGGTCACCTACTTGAAGGGGGGGGGGGGGCTCACTTGAGTGTTTGTGATTGAATAACAGTATCAGTGAGGATATCTCACATCACACATTTACATTAAAGGCCTAAAAGAAGTGATGTTCATTCTAATCTTCGTGTTAACTACGTGTGTTTTACAAGTTGTTTTGTGGTGGTGTGAATGCTGAGGTGGCAGCACTGTTAACAACACACACTCCTGTAACTCACACGAGCTAACTAACTAGCTTCGGACACATTCGCAGACATGTAACGTCAGTCTGATGTTGGTGTTGTGGATAAAAAGTGCTAATTTCACATTAAAGCTGACACGGCTTGATTCGAGAGTCGCCGGTAAACAGCACTCGTAAAAATGGGAAAATCGCGGAAACAAACAGAACAGAAACCGAAAACGATCATTTTAAAAATAGTGTCGTTTCGTCGCAGTTTGATATTTCTGCAGATTAAAGCTACGAAGCAGTGGAGCTGGTGAATAGTGGACGTTTCTAGATGAATGGAGCCCGGAGCTCCGCTAGCTGTCTGTGAACCCTCGGCTAGCTTCGGGTTTACGTTACCGTTAACAGCAAACGGCGAGAGCCGCCGCTGCCGCTTCTCCGGTTCCACTGAAATGTGGAGCAGCTCGTTTGCTGTGTGATGAATGAATCTCAAACCCCATCACCGTGAGTCCGACTTGAATTAATCCATCGTGGCTAAAACGGTGTTAGCCAGCGAACGGGCTAGCTAACGTTAGCCGGCTGGAATCAGATAGAGAGGGAGAAAAAACACCGCACCATCACAAACAGCTGCGGAGGAAACGAGCGTTTACCTTTCGGGTTGCTTCAGCGGGGGGATGCTGCCGGTGAGGGACGCCGTGGTGTCCTCAGTGGGTCCCCATGTCTGTGCCCGGTGAAACTCCTGGGAAGCCTCCTGACGTGTCCGAGCCTGGACCACCGCGGCGGGGGAGCTGCGAGCTCAAGTTGACGGGACAGGGAGACGCGCAGCGGCGGCGGCGGCGGCGCGCCCGCACAGCTGCTGTCACCGGGGCTCAGTTAAAGGGTTAAAGGTCCAGACTGAAGGATTCTGGAGACAGGGAACTATTGGTGGATTCAAATGATTCAAATGATTCAAATATATAATAATCCTGGAGATGTGTTCACTCCTGTTTGTGATCATCTATTCAGTTTTATATTTACACCAGGAGCTGGTCCTCAGTAGTCCAAACTAAACACCTTTTGAGTTTTTATTAAGGCTGCCACAGGTTCTCTTTCCACATCCTATCTATCTATCTATCTATCTATCTATCTATCTATCTATCTATCTATCTATCTATCTATCTATCTATCTATCTATCTATCTATCTATCTATCTATCCATGCAACCTCACCACTAGATGTCTCTAAACTCTACACACTGAACCTTTAAGATCAATTATTCTTGTCCTTACATATTATAGTGGATCTTAGAAAGCATGTGTTGCTTGTGGTAAGGCACTATGAGTTTTCTAATAGGCCATTAATCCTCCAAATCCATTAGATGTTTTTTTGTGTGTGTGCAATTATCAAATTACTCAATTTATAAGCTGTTTACATTAGATTATGTAAGGCCAAAGGGAAACGTCTCCAAAGCAGGTGCTTTATTACAACACAGAGCGTCTGGAAGAGAGAGCAGACCTCGTGTTTAACTTGTTGGTTAGATACACAGCCCCAGACAAAACTCTGCAGGACAGTTTCCTTCTGTTGTACCTGAAACAAAACATTCCCTCCACTTACAACACATTTCTTCTGAAAGTGTGTGACACTCACATGACTAGTTTAAACAGAAAGATCTCACCAAGTATGACAATTATGTCAATTATGCTCTTTTGTTGTGAGGGCTGTGAATGAGCCACTTCCAACTGTCACATGTGTGGTCACTTCTCTACATGTCAACAGGGTTTACCTGCTCCACCTCTCCCACAAAATCCTGTAATGACTGACAATTGTAGCTTGCAAACAGCACATCAAACGGTACATAACAAACGTAGAGTTCACACGTAATGGCGGTTTATAAATACACAGAGGGATCAATGGAAAATGTGACATCACTGACACATTTTTCCAATGTCTCACAACACAAAGCAAAAAGCTGTTAAGAAATTCACCACGTCCTTTTCTTCCTTTATTTTTGTTTTACAGTACATAAACCTCAGTGAGACATGGTTTGAGGGGTCACAGGTCATCCAAATGTTATACTGTAATATTATAAAAACAGTGCTTTGCTTCTGCTGCTGTTTTTAAAACAAAGAGTAATGACAGGTCAACCATTTCCCATACATTACGTAAACTGCTGATATTGGCCAGAAGGGACATAAGACATCTCAAGCAACTACAAGCAAACGATTGTTATCTCCATATCACATTCACTGTTTACTCCTTTAATAAGCAATGCCCAAAGCTCTTTAACCCAGCACATGAAAGACGCAGGGAGATGCAGCTGGATTCATGATTTATTTAAACTGCTTTTGTGCACCGGCATGTGCCGGGGTAAAACGCTTTGGAGACAGCCCAGTCGTCAAATATTCTTCTTCTCTTTATTTCGTCATCCTTTAGTCTTTCTTCTCCTCCTTATTCTCGTCGTCTGGGTTGTAGACGCTGACAGTGAACTCGCCAGCTTCCTTTCCGTACTTGTTCTTGACATGGAGGGCATATTTGCCAGAGTCCGCCGTGGTGACACAGTCGATTGTGATGCTGGCAAACTTCCCATGCTCGAACGTGAGTTTGATGTGGTCATCAGACACCAGCTCCTTTTCGTTCTTTGTCCAGGACACCTCGGGTAAGGGCTCACCCCAGACGTTGCCAGTCAGGTTCAGGGACTGAGGAGAAGAAGAGGATTGCAGGGTTTTGTTGTGTTGGTACACATTTAGATTTCTAAAGACAGTGGGTGGTGAGACAAAGCACTTAACACAAAGTGAGTGTCTAATTCATTTACCTTGCCCTCTTGGATAGCAACCACATCTGGTAAACCTCCAACAACACGAGCGCGGTCTACACAGGGAATATGAGTGAGCAAAGAAGCAACCTGAAGCATTTATTAGGTTCACAACCTTATATTCACTTGACTGTCATAAAACATGCTACCGTATTTTTTTACTCTTCTCTGTGCGTGAATGATGTTCTAAATGTGTATCTGAAAACTTACTTTTCTTCAATCCGTGGTGAATTAAGATTTAATAAAATAAATAAAACTCCGCTTAAAAATTCTATTAAACCAAAGCAACCTCTGCATCCAGAAATATGTGATCATTTCATAGAGCATTTGATTTCTCTCAGGAAACCAAAGAATAAATAATCACTTACTTCTTTCTGCAATTGCTGCCGCCCTGCGGAAGGAAGGAGACAGACGTTGTCAGAAACACCTTAAACTGGTATCACAGGCAGTCATTTTCTCCCCCTATGCTATACAATGGCAGGAAATGTATTTTGAGTGCTTCGCAAAGGGGCCACTCAGTACACAGACTATTTTTAGTTTGTGATGTCTGTTACTATTTATTTGTGTATACATCCTCTTCAGACAGAAATATACAATTATGCAACGCAAGGTGTCGTTTACTTACTTGAGCCTCTGGAATTCTTCAAACGCCTCTTCCCAAGCTGCACCGGAAAAATAATTGCATTTTGTGAAAGAAGCGAAAAATAGTCAGTATTTCCTCTTTTCAAATTAAAAAGTTTTACTCACCCTGGCCAGTCAGCTCAAAGACTCTCTTTACTCCGTCCTTGCCATCAAAGATGTCCATGGCGTATTTGCCTTTGTCCTTCTCAGTGGGCTCATTGATCTTGAGCCAGAGCTGCTCTCCTGTGACTCCGGACTTAACTCTCTCTGAGGCGGCCATCTTTGCATCTCTGAAGTGGAGATGAGGAGCACAGGGATCATGTTAAGTAAGCCTTTTTTTCAACCAACTAAAACTGTGCAGTGACATGATCATGTGCACTGAAATTCAAGATTCAAATTGGAAATGAATAATAATTCCAGCTAAGCTTTCTGCACAAGCATCCCTGTATTCTGATAAAGACAGACTGTCAACATGTGCTTTCATATAGTTCATGGAAAGAGAAAGAGGGACAATTATATAAATAGAAATGATCAGAAAACAATGTTGAATACAGTCGGGGAATACGTACTTGTAGAGCCAACCAACACGCAGGTCCTCGTGGTGATATGTAACCGTGGAGTGGAGGACGATACCGTGTTCAGTGCTGAGGACTTGAATTTGAGTGGAGGAGTTGGCTAAGAGGAAAAAACACAAAAACAAATTTATTTACAGCCCATTTCAAACCAAAGGATAAGGATAATAGTAATGAAGCAATGTTTGGCTGTTAATAGTTCCTGCTGAGGAAAATGTTGCACAGTGGCACATTCTGTCAGTCTGTGGGTTTTTTTCTTCTATGTGTGCTTCATTGTGTGTGGTCATTCATTACTGCTTGATAAGTGTGAAGTTAAATGACTCACCAATAACCCTGAACAGCTCATTCATTACAGTCTGATATCCTGGGGGAACAAAGACAGGGGCAGCAATTAATGTCAGACTTCTTTTGCCAGACTTACAACACTGATTCCCACTTTCTTATCAGTCTGAATATTTGACTTCACCTTCGTCTGTTAGATTGAAGATGCTCTTATCTTTGCCTCTGTCATCCCTCAGTTGGACCTCATAAACACCAGCATCGGCCTTGGAGATCTAGAGTTTGAAGTAAAAGCAACTTTAGTGTCCACGAGACAACAATAGATTCCCTGTTCCCTCAAACTGAGGATAATACAGTATAATTCTTAGGACAGATAACAGACAGAAGAAAAGCCAGACAGAGACAAACTGAACTGAAAAGGCAAGCTTTTCTGCCGCCCAGGATGCTTCAGGCGTTCGAAGGAAAACATGGAAAAGGTAAGACGAGGAAGACAAATGGAGAAATTATAGGCGTGAACTTATGGCAACAAAGATTATGTCCAGACTTTGGATCTTGGTGGTGGAGGAACGTCATCTGCAGGTGGCTTTTTTCCTTCGCTTTCTTTCTGTTTTTCTTGCTTAATTATCCACTGTGAATTAGACAGATAAGCAGGTTAATGCAGGTGCGAATGACAGACAGGAACGATGATGAACAGAGCGCCTCTCCTGAGCTCATGCAATGACACCAACCCTCTCTTTCTGAGGGATGTTTATACAGTTTCAAAGCAATGGTGCCTTGAAACATCAATATAACTTCTCTGGCACTGGAATTCAAAACCTCAGAAAACATCATGTTGGCCAGAGGAGTTAGATTGAATATAGTTAGAAATTAATGAATGAATGAATGAATGAATGAGGCACACAGATAAACCATACTAGCATTTGCATATGGCCATAAATGTTTGAAAACACTACCTCTAAGCACTAAGAATCAAAATGTCAAAATAGAAATTTTAAGTGAAAGTTTCAAGAATGATTTATATATTAGTTGGATCCAGTATACTTCTATTCGGTTTTCCAAGGATGACATACTGATGTGCTGACTCCAGCAGCACTCAGGAGCGTGAATATTTTTAAAAGGGTTTCATCATTTATGATTTTCTGTGTGTCAGAGAGGGATGGTTCGCAGCGTAGCATCTAGTCTACCACAAAGATGAAAGCATAGCTGCACCGGCAGCATCACTACTCGCTCTGTACTCATAAGCCCACGACTCCTCACAAAGCCTGGCCTGCGTATTATGGGCTGACCTTTCCGATATTAAAGGTCAGATCGCTGTCCTGTCTCTCGATCTTTTTGGCATCCTCATCATCATCTGCAATCTCAATTTTGTCCTTGTACCAGGAGATCTCGGTCTCGGGTCTGACATTTCCGATCTGTGGAGCGAAAGAAGGGACGTAGGAATGAGTTACCACAGCAAAACTGCAACCACTCATGACGGCCAAACTTAAATATTAATACAAAATATTTGCAGGTTTCTCACCTTGCATCTCAACAGCACATCACATTCTGGAGTGACAGCAAAGTCAAGGTACTTGACAAAGTGAGGACCTGAGGGGGTTTAAAGGAAAATAATTAGAGAAACACTTGTGTTAATCATTTTGAAATTATTTAACACTGAAGAAAGATCTCTTACCTTGTTTCCTGACCCATTCTGCCCTCTCAAATTCTGATTTCTTTTGAAGCTCCCTGAATTCTAGACAGGGGCAAAAGAAAATGTGACAGTTAAAAATAAATGAACAGTTAAATATCATATGCTGAGTTCTTGAAATATTTTTTTGAATTCCTGAAAAGTAAACTAAAAAAGACATGAGAGTGAAGAAAAGGTTGTCTTCTGCTGCCCCTCAATGGACATGAAGCATAACTGCAGTGAATGCAACCACATATCATATGTGTGATCAAATAATATGCTCTGTATTCATAACAATAAATTAATACAATTAATATTAACACGCTGATATTAATATTTGACAAATCTGCATGCACAACATCAATATGGATACTAAAGTTGCATTTACCATCTCCAATGAGCACCAGACTGGTTGTCCCCTTGGCCTTTCCATCCACCAGGTTAAAGGTGAACGTTCCCTCATCGGTGACCTCCAGAGAGTCCATGAACATTTCAATGATGCCGGTGGACCTGTCGAAGTTCATTGAGTATTTCTGGAAGAAATAAAGTTGAGTGTTTCACAGACAAACACCATTCTATCAATTGTAATGCAAAGGCCAGTGTCTGAAAGATATTAGAAGTGGAAATTCTGACCTTTCCCTGAGTAACGATGACATCATTAAAGACGTATTCCACTTGGCAGGCAGAGGTGCATTTCTCCACCTGAGTCCAGAATCTCACGCGACCCTTCTCCAGCAACTCCATGGCCATTTCATTCTTGAACGGAATAACTAGAAAGCACAATATTTATCAATGTGAATGCACTTTTTTAGATATGCCTACTCTGTATGCATGGTGTATGAAGTAACCACGGCTTGGTAACTACAATATCTTTGACAAACATAGTTAAGACATGTTTCCAAACTGTATTCAGAACAATATCTGCATTTTATAATAAAGTAGTGTGAGATCTGTGCTGTGTGGATATTCACCAGGAAACTTGTGTTCATGGCTGATGTCCAGGAGACGCTTGAGACCTGTCAAATAACAACGGCAGCAGCACAGTGGTCAGTGTCACAACCTCTGCAAACCCTTATAGCATCACTCATCCAGCTTTTACTTAAATGTTTCAACACCCCTGACAAAGAAATTATTTGAGATAACATTTCAAGACAAACACATATAAAAGCCCATGGGTGCAACATGTTAACAGACATTTAGCACTTATGTCATCAAGAGAAATAAAAATTGAATCAAGTTGCAGGGACACAGGAGCAGAGGTTTCAACACCATCGGCTGACTCACCCTCCTCAGTGAGTGTGTAGCTGGAGGAGATGCCGTCAGTGTTGGTGACCACGCAGGAGAAGGTTCCCAGGTCTTCCAGGGAGGGGCTGTTGAAGATGGCCCTGGACCTAGAGACAAGGACACGTGACGACAAACAGGGTATGAGGAAAATAATGTCTTTCTGTTGTCTCCCAGGGAGCTGCACGACAAATTGGGCTCACATGTGATACTTACCTGCCCTGTTCTTTGACAATAGTCAGTCGTGAGGAGTCTGTTATGGTCTTGTAATTCTTGGACCAAACAAACTCTGAGCTTTCATTCATCTCGGAGCATTCAAAGACCATAGAGATGATGCCATCATCATCGACATCCACATAAATCTCTTTGGTGCCTGAAGGAAGAGCAAGTGGTTAATGTGTGTGTGTGTGTGTGTGTGTGTGCATAAATGACAGGTTACAGATTTCAGCTCTGGATAAAATACAACTCAAAATATGTCTTCGCTTTCCAGGAAAACTCTGAGACCACATGTGTTTGAGTTATATAACAAAAACTCACCAGGGCGAGTCTGGGCCAAGATTGGACCCAAGACAGCTGAGGCCTTTCCAACTCCAGCAAGATTTTGAGCACGCACAGAGAAGACATAGGATGTACCAGCTTTCAGCCCGGTCACCTGGATAGATACATAAGAAGTCAGAGGGAGAGAAAGTTGAAAACATACTGATTCATTAGTTCACATACAAATTTCTCATGAAGCTGAAACACTGACACATTAAAACCAACATTTATATTGAATTCATCTTCCTCACCTTCATGTATTTCATCTTGTTGGCCTTCTCATGGACAGCCTTCCAGCCCTCCTCTCCAGCAGAGGCCTCCTTGATATCCAAGTAGTATCCGTTGACAGGAGTGCGGCCGTTAAATGCAGGGGGCTCCCACAGGACCACGACAGAGGTGTCACGAACCTCCAGCACGTGGAGACCAACAGGAACGCCTTGAAGGAGCAACAAGGATGGGAAGTTCACCGGGCTTGTGAAGATACTTTAAATGACATCAGGATGAAGTTTGGATTCTTAAACATTAGCGCACATTTAAAGAAAATATACTTGATTAACATATTTATATTTACAGTTCTTTTTTTGAGTACACTCGAAAAGAAAAGTCCAAATCGAACAAAAAGTATTTATGCTCAAAGACATACAACTGATCCCGAGTTGACTTTTGTGAATTTACTGTCCGTCTAAATGTTTTCTCCGTTACCTGGCACAGTAATGGTCCATTCCTTGCACTCCAGAGATGCACTGGGCAGAGAGCCTTTACTCACACCTGCCATGTTCATAGCGCGCACCTGGAACTGGTAGAAGACGTTCTCCTTCAGGTTCTCAGCCTAAAGAAAGACAAATGCCAATAATTAGAACTTATTAGAAGTTAAATTGTTACAATTACAAATAGTAGATAAACTCATTTGTGCATCACACAATGCCTACATTACATAAATTCTGTGACTTGTAATTGTGGAGGAAAAACGTACTCGGTAGGTGGTTGTAGTCAATGCTTGGTGGTTCATTTCATGCCATTTCCCAACAACAGTTCCCTTCACAGTCCTGTAGTCCACAAAGTATCCCCTGATATCAGCACCTCCATTGTTAGCAGGCTCGGTCCAGCCCAGCACCATGAAGTCCTTGGCAGCCTCCAGCAAGGTCACACCAGTGGGCCTCCCAGAGACGGCTGTAAATAATGTAGATAATGTAGATAAGGCGGTCAGTACTTTTTTAGTAGTGTGAAAAAGATAATCTTTCACATACTTATTCACATTTCATTTAATTAAAAGTTCAGTCATATACATAAAATCCAATACAGATGACCTGGTATTTGCCAAATTTTGCGCAGATCTTACTGCTCATTTGTGTTAAGACATCACAGAAAATACACAAACATAACATGCAACATGCTTTGCACAAATAGAGTTATTTCAATGTATGATGTACTTACGCTCAAGGCCAGAAGCAGGGTGACTCTCATTAGGTTCATGCTCTTTAAGAGTCACAATGTTTTAGCCTTCAGCTTGGCCATGCACCTAGAAGCACCCCTGAAGAGTGGTCAAATAGCAAAACAGAACTCGAGCAAAATTATCTTTATGCAGAAATCAAGACCTTCACAGAGAAAAAGCAGTTTTAAACATAATCTCATTTGTTACTTAACCGCGTCACTAATAAATGGGAGACAGCAAAATGACAAAATCCACTGTTAGCGATGAGCACGTCATGCAGGTACATGCAATTACACCCACAAGCAGACACATATAAACATATGTCACTTGTGTGCATGGCATTCCTGACAAATGTTTTAGAAACAAAATTCTAGAGAATCTATGTAAAGAAACTCATAAAGAGAATTATCAAATATGTTTGATTAGTTAACGAGAAAGAATAGATGAAAGTTAGTGGACATGGATGAGTTTAGAGAATCGAACAGCTCAGCAGCAGAGAACAGAGGTCGTGTGTATGGTTTTAATTCTTCCTGACAAAAACAGGAATGAGTCCTCGCAGCAATCATTCCTGGGAGAAATAACAATAATAAAAAGGGGAGAGAAAATGTCTATGGGTGAAGTGAGCAATGGAAGTGAGTTCTGATGAGGACACTCACCGATGGCAGCCTTCACAACCACAGCATCAGAATTGGAAGAACTCTGACTGTATCCAGCAGCATTGACTGCCTTCACCCTGAACACGTAGTTTTCTTCAGTGGTCAGGCCATGGCAGACAAACCTGCTCATAGGGAAGAGAGGTTGATTTTATTAACAGAAGAAGAACTGGCTGGTGCAAACAAAACAAAACAATTTAGTTTTGTATTATAACCTTAATATTTCAAAACAGAATTTATAATAATCTGGGCCTTTGCTGCACTGGAAGCAACAACAATCTTATAAACCTCACTGGATGGAACCGTGTTAGTCTGAGGCAGTAAACATCCTTATTGTGTTTATTCAGAATATTGATGACCACAATATTTTTGCTCTTCAGCTTAACAAACGATTTTAAAGAAGACTATTTTATTTTTTGAAATATGAACCAACACATTCTTCCTCTTAGCTACACCCTTTCTCTGGTCTGACCTGGTTATAGTAGCTTTTGTTGGCTAAATTTGGAGAAAACACTGGAATGAAATAAAGTTCAAGGAGCAAGATTAAATATTTGTAAGACAGAATCATACGTTTGTGAGAGAAAACCCAAAATGTGTCCGTAACAGTAAACTCGCCAACCTGGTCTGCTTGACAGGTTTGTTGTTGCACGGCATCCAGACATCAGTGCCGACCACGCTACATTCAATATAGTACCCAACCAGGTGTGAAACATCTTTTGAGGCCCCCCATGTGACCACCACTGAGGTGTCGGTGTTCCTGATGGCCACTGGGTTGCCCGGAGTGGCGGGCAGGTCTGTTGAGAAAAAGTAATTAAAAAATGGGATTAAACATACTACAGAGTTCCAGCAGTCAAATATTATGATTTAAGACGTAGAGGTCCAGTGTGTAAGATTTAAGAGAAATGGATCTTTTGCCAGAAATTAAATATAAAATAATCCTAGTGGTGTTTGAGCACATTTACTGGTGTGTTATCATCAAAATTGTACAAATTGTTGTTTTCTTCACCCTAGAATGGGCCCTTTATATTTAAAGACATTATATTTACATCTGGAGCAGGTCATGTTTTCTACAGTAGCCCAAACTGGAAAAACTAAAAACCTTTTGAGTTTTTATGACAACTGAAAACTACCACAGGTTCTCCTTCAACTTCACCTCTATATATCAATAAGAAATACACCTTTAAGGTCCAACCCAATGCAGAAATGTGATGATTAACTGTGACACCTATGTAAGATGGAGGCTCACCCAGTTTATCTCCGACCGTGATCTCTTCTGTAGATACAGAGGCCTCGCCCACGCCAGCAGAGTTGCAGCAGCGCACACGGAAGCTGTAGGATTTACCCTCCGCCAGGTCAAACAAGGCAAAGCGGGGAGACTTGACTGGCATACCAGTGTTCACCCTCTGCCAGGTGTCTGTTCCTGCAATACACTGAGGTAGAGCCAGCAACGTGTCAGACTGATGCATGATAATAGTCATTAAAACATAGTGTATAAAGGTATGGTATGATGAATGTCAGGAAGCAAAGTCAGAAAATACATTACGGTGGAGCAGAAATATAAATACTGGCACATTTACAGATATCACTGTCCCTGTAGAATAAATCAAATTCCTCGTAATCACAGTAATCAAAATAGCACTGGGCTCAGAAGCAAACAATCAAACGTAGTTCGCTTTCTTCTCACCTTCTCAATATAATACATGACTCCTTCATGACCTCTCTGGACTGGGGGCTTCCAGGCGAGCACCACATAGCTCTTAGTTGCCTCAGTAACCACAACATTCGAGGGTTCTCCAGGGACGAAGCCCACTGAAGAGACAAGACGCTCATACTTATATATCATGTGAAAAAAATACCAATACCAAACATTTGCAGACAGTAAACCAAAGTTGAGGTTCGATACCCAGCTTTACACTTTGTATCACTGGAATAATAGATTATGATGTTGTCGTACCAGATGAATCCTCCTCTGTAAACTTGATCATCCCAGTCCAAGGAGCTGAAGGACCAGCTGTTGGGGAAAATGTAAAAGAAGTTAATAAAAAATGTAGTTGTTGCCTTTAAAGCAACATTTCAGCTGCGCTGGTTTGTCCCTAACCTCTGAGTCGAGCTCTGTCGGAGGGATCCATGGCGACCACAACCTCAGAGACGCGGGACGGACGGCTGACTCCTGCCTTGTTCAGGGCCCGCACCCTGAAGATATAAGAGCGGCTCTCCACCAGCCCTGTGACGGGGAAGCGGGCGTACGTCACTGGGTTGTCATTGCACTGAGCCCAGTGATGGGTGCCCACCTCACACCTGTCAACACAAACACACACAGGGGCTGTACAAGTGAGACGTGTGAAGCAAAACGAATAACATGAAGTCTTTTTAGATGATTTAAGAAAACATCTGTCTTATCAGGACTTCACTGACATAAACAATCAATTAACGGCTCATTATTCATATTATCTGCCCACACAGTAGCTGAATTATTATTATTCATCTGGGGGCTCACAACAAATCTGTCAAGATTTCAAATGATTGGAAATCTGAGAGGAATTTGAGGCAAGTGCCAAGTACACAGACACATCAAGAACAGTCCTGCATGTATTATCTAAGTAATTATGATGGATGGACAGATGGATGGACAGATGGATGGACAGATGGATAATGGATGGATAATGGATGGATGATGGATGGATGATGGATGGATGATGGATGGATGGGCAGATGATGATGGATAGACAGATGGATGATAAAAACATAAAACACAGGTTAAATATTGTGAGATTACGACAGAGTGGCTGACGAACCTGTCGATGTAGTATCCCAGGATGGAGCTGCTGCCCTCCACCGCTGGCTGCTTCCAGGTCACCACCACGTAGTCCTTGTTGGCGTCATGACAGCGCACATCCAGGGGGGCCACGGGAACCCCCTCCACCTCCACATCGGCATCTGGCACAACAAGGCAAACACACACACACACACACACACACACACACACACACAGAGAGTGAGTAGTGCAGTTTGTTTCTATATCAGGCTGAGCTCCATTACGTGGTCAGTTTCCATTTTCTGACCTACTTATGTGTGTGTAGCTATCTATGATAGATTCATTTATTTCTTGGTAACACAAAATGATATTTAGAAGATTCTCTCTCACGTATAAACCTGCAGATTGTTAATGCAAACCCCTCAGAAAGAGCATTATGACACTCAGAGACACTGCAACAGATTCTCGACCGTAACTGTACGTGGAGCACATGCTGTATTACAAACTGTCCAATTCTCCAGCTACGTAAATTCATTCAACTTTCAATGTACAAATCTAAAAAGCCTCTTTTGTGTGACTAAGCTGAAGGTGAAACATCCATCAGGTACTTTACCTCTGACGAACACATAAGCAGAGTATGTGTCAAAGCCAGATTTGGTGTTGACGCGCAGGGTGTACATGCCCTCATCTTCCTTGTTGAGGTGGACAAGAGTGAGTGTGGCACGATCGCCAGACCAGTGGGAGTGGATCCATTTGGAGGGCTTCAGGGGGACAGCTGACGGGAGAGGTCCAAACAGCAGAGGCGTGATTAGCACCACATGGTGGATTCAAAATGATGGTCAAAGAGTAAACGCTCTACTTACAGTTTCTGTACCACACGACCTCAGGCTGGTATTTCTTCACAGTGGGATAAATGATGACAGTGCAGCCCAGACTCAGTGTCTCACCCTCGTTGCCAAAGGCCACTTCAAATTTGTCAATGATGGTGGTCTCGAAGGTGACACCGTGCTCAGCGCAGAAACCATCTGCAGAGATGGAAGAATAATACAACATTGAAATTAACATTATAAAAAAAACATATAGAGAAATCACAACCTGTTGTTGTTTGCCGCCGCCAACCTGTGCAGTTTCAGTCTACATGCATTTTTTCGCCCTGAATCATATTGTGACCTTTGACCACTTTAATATAATCAGCTCATCTCGGAGTCCAAATTTAAAGGAATTCTTTTGAGGCAGATTCGAGACATCAGGTCTTAGAGGCCAAAAACATGTTTTGTAAGGCCACCGTGACCTTGACCTTTGACCCCCAAATACTGTACCACAGGCTTACTTGAGATATTGTGTTCACAAAAAAATGGGATTTAAAAAAATGAGCTGAAAGAAGCTAAAGAGCGGCTGCTATCATTTTATTATTCTACTAATTTTTGATTATTGTAGCTTAAAGTTCAACGTATGTGAAATGTATAATGTGCCAAACACAAAGTTTCCTTGTTATGCTTAAAATAAATTAAATCAAAAGTGACTCACGTGGTTTAGGGTCCAGTGGACCTGCTTCCATGCTTTCCTGGAACCCTGCAAAAAAATGTATACATCAGTAACCTGCTGTAAAAATAACAAGAGAATTCTCTGTCACACAACTTATAACATATGAATTTCCTGCTGTCAAACACTGATGCCACTCGACCTCTGAGAAACACTCTTCCTGACACAACTGGACCATGCTGTGTCAACAATGCTTCTATTTTTACCCTCCACTCTGACCTGTGACCTTTAGCTGCAGGAACAGGAACTGACACAGACAAGACGGCCTCGGGACTTACTTTTGACAACAATGGTGGCCACAAAAGAAGCTTCTCCTTTCACGTTGAGCGCAGAAACATGATACTGAGCAGTGTCGAGGAAATCACAGCTGAAAATGAAACAAATCACTGGCATCTCATCTGAATTGAATATTTTCCACTCAGAACACTCAGTTTGTGGAAACGTGCATTGTGGACACATGTCATTGATACTAACGGAGGTCACGCAGTGTGAGCTGAATGATTACCTACTTCTTGATCTCCAGGGAGTGCATGTTGTAATTGCTCTCTGCTGTGTACTTCTCGGGGTGGGCCTTGGCATCAATGAGCACATTGTTTTTGTACCTTGAAGACAGTAGAAAGACAGCTGGTTTATTTTTACCGTTGCCCTCAGAGTGTGTAATTGCAGAGGGAGTTTGTGTGTGCATCATGTTGCGACTGAGGAAAATAAGAGTCGTCTGGTGACGAGAGCTTTGGACGGAAACTTCTCTGTGACGCACTCACGACTGATCGCCCTCATCAGCATCTTTTTTGCTCTTGTGACTCATAGAGGGTGGGGACCAGTGAGCTGGAGAAATGTCTTACCAAGCGATCCTGGGTTTGGGCCACCCGGCCACGGTGCAGTGCAGCTTGACGGTGTTGCCCTCCCAGACGGTCTGTCCGCGGGGCTTGACAATAAACTCTGGAAGGTGCATCAGGCTGTCTGGGTTCATTTTCTTACGGAACTCTGCCCACTCGTCCATCTACGTAACAAGAGAGTGACGCCAGACTCAGACATTTAGTGCAGGATAAGATTATTTAACCTTAATAGTGGAAAACAAAACTAAAGAAGGATGTACCGTCCTGCTCATTTCCACACGCTCAGCAGATTCCCTGACATGCGTTGTTCTGGTCTTCTTCTCCACTTTCACGTGCACAGCCTCGCGGGCCTCCCTGACGAACAGGTTCCTCATGGCCACATAGTTGATCCCCTCCTCCGTAACCTCGTCCTGGGCCTCCATCAGACCTCGAACCACTTCATGACTAAGAGGGAGGAAGGAAAAATATCTTTCAAAACACAAACCTAATCACTGATTTTTCTCTCTCAGGTGCATGTTTGGCTTCTCCTTCACTCACTTGGCTCTGAATACAGGTATAACATAGCCGATGACTTCTTTGTCCGTGTCCATCGCCAGGTAGGTGCGTTTGGCTCTCACAGGTAGCGGGCTCAGTTTAACCACCTCCTGCCCCTTCTCTGTCTTCACAGAGGTCTTCAGGCTTAGAGATCACAAACAACAATAACATCAGATACTGTGTGTGGCAAATTCATACAATCACATAGAGTGTTTAAATCTACTTACTCATTCAATCCAACAATCAACAAATACTAATAACTGCAGATGAAAATACTCCCAAAACAAATATACTTTTTACTCCTTATTGAGTGACTGATGAAAACAACAATACCACCAGATACTTCTTTAAAATGAACTTCTTAAAAATACATGTATGTTTTCATTTGCAACTAGTAGACATTGGTTTGTGTAGGAAAGTCTAAAAGTACACATTTACTGATCTGACCTTCCTGAAGCTTGTGATGGTAATTTTTTGTCAAAACCGACTGAAACTTTTGAAGATGTGATGTTTTAACTGTGCAATTGACATTTTGGAGGCTGGAAAATGTAAAGGTGTTTTAAATATTTTGTCCATCCATCAATAGAACAAAAATACAGAGAACAACGCATAAAAGATGGAGAAAAAAATCTTTAGTGCGAGGTAAAAATATGAACATGAACCATACTGCCTCTCTGCATCTATAAAACTTTCCGGTTACATAAAAACCCATTTAGAATATGCTGTGGTGCTCAGAAAAGGAGGGTATATTTCTGTCCACCTTCGAGGACCCTGACCCATATTACAGTCTGACTCATTCACCTATCCGGCTCTTGGGCCTCCCTGTTATCTGCTCCGTTTAAAAAAAAACTGAAAAGAAGCCGGAACTGGTGGAAATGCAGCAGGGTGGATGTTCACCCTAAAGCCCGGCATCTAATCGTAAACTCTGCCACGTCTGCCCGGCTCTGTTGTTGGGCCTGGAGGAGTAGCAGCGTAACATGGCTGTGATAAGCCATGGGATCAATTCAGCGGAAGGGGATGAATGCACAGCAGGGACGGGCAGATGGAGAGAGTCTCACAAAAGATTTCTGCAGCGCCAAGAAGTTATTTCCACTGCTGACTCACCGAGCGAGTCGAGGGGAAAGTCTCTGGCTCGGAAAGTCAGTATAAAAAGTTTTGGTGCTGATAAAAGCATTTCGTTCTCGACAGGCTCAGAGGCCACAGTAGGTGTCAATCTGAAGACCTTAACGATAAAGGCACCAACTTTCATGCAGCCAATTGCATAAAGGAAAGTGAGTGTAGTTAAAAAATCTTCCTTTTCTATTTGATTTGTAAAAATTCATACCTAACCAAGATAAATAACTATTAAATGCTGCTAGAGACCAATCGTTTACAAGATCTTGAGTCACATACAGCGTCTTTACAGTCGGCCTAAGGGCAGCTTCTCATGTCCTGCCTACAGAAATAGAGCGACCGTCCATAAATAAATCTGGCAGTCGCTCACTGCAGCTGAAATTCCTTCCTTGACCCCCTTTAGAAAACGACCATGGTTCCAACGAGCAGACTGAGCCCTGCAGCTTCAAACACAAAGACTCTCTCACCACATTACATGTTGTCAAAGCCTCAGTGGCACAATGGATCATTTCTGAGGTGCTCCGCTCCACAGCTATTGATTACAGACTTTGATAGACACCATCTCACTCAGACAGCCTGTCACTAGTCAAGCCTGGTTTGATTCCAACACAGGGTTTCACAAAAACATTTCAATTAAATTAAAATACTTACAAACTTACAGGGACATTTCCTGCATTTATCACCATAACAAACCTGGGACAAAACCCATGAGAGGTCGTAATCTTTAGCTCATATCTTATATCAGGATTCGTTTGAATGAATACTTGTTGAACTAATAATTGTTTCATTAAATTTTTCACATTGCGAGATTGAACATTTTTCAAAACGTTCATTAATCTCTCAGTGAATAATTCATGGATCTTGATCTTTTTAAATCAGGGATGTTGAGGGGACTGGTATTTACCAGCTTGTGCAATTTGGTGCAGATCCAAACAACAATCTAGATACAACACTAGTACAACACAAGTACATTATTATACAAATACATGTTATATATTGTAATGTATATGCTACACTATGAATGATCATCATTGCAAAAGCCCCGTAGCTGTAGACATGACACTTGATGATTTCACCTCTTCTCACTTATCGAGACTCAACTTTCCTAAAAATTTGACTTGACAAACAAAAGCAAAACCACTCAACGTCGCAGCTTTTCTATCTCTACTCTCCTTGGTAATGAATGAATTTTGAAATCTTGGGAATGGACAAACACTAAAACGTTGAGACTTGTCTTGAACTTGATCAATGAGACTAAAAACAGGTTCCTCTGCTGCAGCAATCCGGAGAATAAGATGTTAAAATGTTCTGATAAAAACATGAAACCCTGACATCATAAAAGGTGGACCTCTATGGGTGGATGACTACAAGTACACCAGACACTTAAAGTACAGTGCTGAATATTTGAAAGAGGTCCGCTTGAATGCATTCATCCCTTCCTGGGTTATGGAAGTGGCAGGTCACATCAAGAGAGCCTCATTCTAATTTTACAGTTTTCAAATATCAACCATCAGCGTCCTGCGTCACTCCCACGCTCTTACCGACGGCTGGTGGTCTGGTACGTCGTGAACGACTGCTTGCTAACAGACGACTTGCTGCTGAGGTAACAGTTGCTCTCATAGTGATGCTGCTGCAGCTGCTTCTTCTCATGATGCTGCTGCAGCTGCTTCTTCTCATGATGCTGCTGCAGCTGCTTCTTCTCATGATGCTGCTGCAGCTGCTTCTTCTCCTGATGCTGCTGTTGATGCAGATGATGCTGCTGCTGCTTCTGCGTCACTTGTAAAGATGCTGACATCCTGAGGGCCACTGTGCCAACTTAAAATGTCAGACTGTCCTTTACCAGCTCTGCAAATCGATCTCATCGTTATTATTGTAGATTGATTTCTGATTGTCGGGTTAGGGGGGAGGTTATTAGCCGAGGATATTAAGAGGTGGTTAGGTTCTAAGAAAGCACCCAGCAATGGTTAAACATGTGCTTTAATAAAAGAAAAAAACTCAGTTAAGATGGTGTTATGGTTTTTATTTTGTGTGGCAGTTGAAGTGTTAGCTCTGGTTAAACTCTAATTCTACTGGGTTAAATGAAGAAGCAGTCGGCAGCGAATAAACTCTGGAAGTGGAGATTTTAATTTTAATTTACTGTCTTCAAAAATAATATTAGAATTTTAATTGAAAACCAACTGGTAAACAAAATAGGATGGGTTGTGCTTGATTAATGGCATTATTGATCATTTTCTTCAGGAGTTATAATAATAATATGTTAAACCACTGTTGAATGAATAAAGTCGGAATCCAAATGTTTTCAGTTAAAATCAGACACATAATCTAATTTTAGAACCAGGAGGTAAATGAATATTTGGCATTTGTGAATTAAAAGGAAAAGTTGAATACATGATAAAACCTTCTGCCTCAATAAATCAGCTCATAGTGTCACTTTAGTAGGTATTCCTCAAGGTAGACAGTTTGAAAACATGAACAGCCTCTGCTGGGCACAGGCCCATCACCATATGACAACAGGTAAATTATGTAATTAGAAGATGTGTAGATTACAGCAGCAGATTTCAAACTGTGCTCTCTGATTGTTGTGTCCTTGAGCAACACATACTGCAGGAGGTGTGTGCAGCTTTACTTATCAAGAAGAGCTGGAAACTGTAAAGTGGCCCATTTGCCTTGAGATTAGATCAAGCTGCTGTTCTTAAATTAAAATGAAATATTAATTGAAGGGATTAGCTCTTCTTCATTGACTAGTTTCACTGCAATGACACATGCAATCTAATCTACATGAGCACAGAAGCTACAATGATAACCAGTTAGTATAAAGGACAATGAAAATTCATGGATTTAAATAACAAGAATGATTAAAAAACAAATAAATAAATACATAGGTTGAAATTAGGCCTCGAGCCTCACTGGTTAGGTTTTTTTAACTTATGACTACAAGACATAACATGTCATAACAATCTTTAAGTATAAGAGACCAACTTATAGTAGAAATAACAATATAAACGTCACTCACCACAAATGAGAATCCACCAATCCACAGCAGTTGAAAATAAGAGAAATTGATGTGTTAATTCCAAAAGTGGCAAAAGCAAGTTGGGATCGAGGCAAAGCAGCAGGGTGAGGGCCAGTGGACAGGACAGCAGTCCACAGAACAAAAATAATGCTGCCACTCGGCAGAATGCACAAGACACCGTCAGGACCTTTTAAGGCTGCGGCAGTTTTAAATTTAGACCATGAGACCACGAGAAGGGTTCGGGTGAGTCTGAGGAGCCTCTCCCAGGCCTGGCCCTCTACCTCCGGGGTGCAGCCCCTCAGAGGGGGGGTGTTTCTGGTGGGCTGTGGTAGATATGGTAAAATGGTGAAGTGAAGAAGGGCCACAGTTGCAGCTTAGTTAGGATGAGATTCATTGTTTCAAGGTTACTCCAGGGTTCATGTTCAGGCCCTGAGGTCACATAACTGTATTTCACCACATGTGCTCACCATCAACATTAATGGTGACACGAGTGTGACCTCAAAACAAATGATTATTATCGACTCGATTTCCCCAAAATGTTCTTTTGTAAACATACTTGTCGAGGACCAGTAATAACAAGTGTGTCTTTTCAATGTCACTGACACACAAAATAAACTGAAGCTCTACTTTGGGCAATTTATACTGTTTGTGAACTGTTTGTAAAGTAACTGCTGCCCCCTCGTGGTAGAACATATTAACCACAGCGTTTGCAGTTTGGACATATAAATAACCAAAATATGAATATCCAAAATATGGATAACCAATATGTGTATATATATATATAAATATATAAATAGCATAAATATAAATAACCAAAATATGGATAGACAAAATATGAAACCAAAATATACATAACCAAAATATGAGCGCAAAAAAAGATCTTTAGCAGATTCTTGTAGCTGTATTTGTGTATAATTATTCCACAAGTTCTCTCTTTCAATATTATTTAACAATTAAACCCAATTTAAAAACACCCAGACAACTTGGAACAGTCCAGTGTGATGGGATCTTCCAGCTCGCCTCTGATTGGTCAGTTGTGGGAACAGGAAATAAAACATTGATGGTCGCTCCTCTTCGGTCTGTGGATGCTCTGCTTCCTGTGTCTTCGGCTTTTCTGGCGAATAACTCCAGTGTTTTTCTGAGGTTTGTGATTTTATTCTTCATTTATCTTCCGCTCGTGAACTCGTCACTTGTCGGGGACAGAAGAGGTTCGTGTGTTTCCTGTGTTTGTCAGTGAACTGGTGTTATTTAGGTCAACCCTGGGAACAGCTAGCTTATAAATAAAATGTTTGCTTCAAGTTATTCACGCTGTGGAGAAGATGTTTGTTTCAGCGCAGATACAGATAACGATATTTTACACCTAAGTAACTATTTGATGGTTATTTTAATTATAGGTATTGTGGTAGGTTAACGTTAGCTTCATTTGCTGTGATGCTACTATAATAACACAATTTAACAGGTAACAGATTTCTCCTCTAAAATCACATCCTCAATAAAAAAGGCAGATGTTTCTTAAAGCAATTATTTAAACATCACAAACACCAGAGACAGGAAATAACCATTAACACAGTAAAACAATAAAAACGGAGACATGAGGAGATGTATTTCAGTCTCTTGTTTCATTTACGTTGCATTGAAAGAGACACGTTTTTTTAAACAGCCATCAAATGTCATTTATCAAGTGCAAAGTTTGGTTGAACTGGACGCACAAGTGTTCATACGACTGATATTAAGTTGAGAGGCAGAGACCTGTTGTTTTAGGGCAATACTAAGTGAATTTCATTGTAAAGCTGATCTGCCTGCTTTTATCAAGTTCATCAGAAATTGTCCTCTTCAAATATCTCATCTCTTAAATTAGGAAGTTGCCTTTTTTTATAAATATATTCTGTTGATGGATAAACTACATCATTGTGTTGTTTAATATCCGTCATTTGACTGTAGTGCTGTGAAACCAATCTGAAGCAACTGAGATGCTGCTCGTCTCATGTTATTAAGTCAACAACAGCTGACGTCCAACCAGAGATCAACACAATGTCCCATTAGAGTCTCAAACTGGTCATGTTGTCATTATTCTTTAGCTGTGGTTTAACGTAACATTTATTGTTATCAAGATATATTTGAAGTTATCTTTGATTCACCGTCTTCATGTTATTTTTACCACAGGAGGGGGGGGACCCACCAGCTGCCAACATGTCGAGCAAAAGGGCCAAGGGGAAGAACACCAAGAAGCGTCCTCAGCGCGCCACCTCCAATGTGTTTGCTATGTTTGATCAGTCCCAAATACAGGAGTTCAAGGAGGCTTTCAACATGATCGACCAAAACAGGGACGGTTTTATTGACAAAGAAGACCTTCATGACATGTTGGCCTCATTAGGTAAACTCAGCAATATGATGTGCACACATTTAGACGGTGATGCAATGATTTTAATCTAAGTGCAAGAAGTTCAAGAAACATTTGGTTTAATAAAAATTAGCGATAAAGAAATCTTGGCACAATCCTCTATTAGCAAGTATTTTAATATATTTAGTAAGTATTCTGGAAGCATGGGTAGTAGGTAAGAGACGTTTTATTCAGTCTTCCACTCTCTTCTTTTCCCAGGTAAGAACCCCACAGATGAATACCTGGAGGCCATGATGATTGAAGCACCGGGGCCAATCAACTTCACCATGTTTCTGACCATGTTTGGAGAGAAGCTGAATGGCACAGATCCTGAAGATGTGATCCGGAACGCTTTTGCCTGCTTCGATGAGGAAGGCACAGGTGATGTTAAGATCTAAGTGAGACAGAAGTCCTCCAGGCCATGGTGTCTTCAGAAGTTGTCCAAGTGTACATAGGCAACTGGACCTGCTTGTGATTCTTCTAGTTGCCCACATACACTTGTTCAACTTCTGAAGATAACCAGCTTCAGCAGTGGAATTGTTAAATGGTAACACCAGTAACCTGGTGTCCATAACCTTCTATGTCTGCTACCTGCCTCATAATTGAGTTCTTCCCTGCAGGTGTGATCCAGGAGGAATACCTGCGTGAGCTGCTGACTACGATGGGCGACAGGTTTACAGATGAAGAAGTGGACGAGCTCTTTCGTGAGGCCCCTATTGACAAGAAAGGCAACTTCAACTATGTAGCGTTCACACGTATTTTAAAGCACGGTGCAAAGGACAAAGACGATTAGGGACAGAGGCTTCGCTGGATGAGGTTTACTCTCTACATGCTGCGTGTTGTTACTGGGTTCCCACTTCTAAGAACAGCTGTATCATGTAGTTTGGCTCATGACAAGGCTTCACTTTGCTGTAGACTTCTGAAGGTCATTTGTTTAAGCTGCTTTTTGGACCAACCCTTCTCTTAAAGCTCATTTGCACTTATGTGAAAAAAAAACACTAAGGGTCTGTATAAGCTAGTAAAGATGTATGTGAAGACCCCCTGGATAAAGCTAGAAAATAAACTGTTATTGTAACTGGTTTGGTTTTATTGAAAATGTTTCGCACTCTGACAATTAAATTGCCACGTAAAACACCAATGCTCTTTTCATATTTCAAAAAGTTTTTATTTTTAAAACAAAGAAAAACGATTGTGTCCTTCTGAGATGGTTTAGAGCAAATCAAACTCCACAGTTCACAAACATTTCAAAGATACACATGATCACTCACTGGATTCAACAAATGGTGCTAGTTGATGGAACAGTGAATACATATGGCCAAAAGTAAGTGGACAGCGGTGTGTAGCGTTGGTCTTGGCCATTTTCTTTATTCATCTTACAAAGTACTGCTCAGAACAGTGCAGGCTGTTAGCATAGCCTATTAAATTATCATTTTGGATTCTTAATCTAATTGGTCATCCATGTGCTTTTGGTCATGTGTTTACAAAGTGCCCTTAAAAAACAAAACAAGATCTCTCCATGTTTCACATTTTCTGATCTACTGGTGAATCTTTCATTTTTCTGACATCATCATGGATAATTTAATAAGGTATAGAGCAGTGATCACAAGTTTTTGATGCATTAAAAGGATCCACAGTATATAATTTCCGACAATTCAAAGCACCTCTGAGTGCCCGTGGTTAAAACATCTGAGAAAGCTCCAAATATCCACCTTTACCCCAGAGAATGTATCCGTGCATCACCGTCGTTAACCAGCCTCCTCTTGTTCACAGGATCGTCTGTGATGAGGGATTTCACTTCACACCAACAATAAATAAACAAGGGTCAGCTCCACACTCGAAGCTTTCTGTACACGTCGCAGTTGCTCACAGAGCAACGTATAGCACACGACGAGGGAGGCTTTGTTGCTCTACTCTGCCAGGGCAAGGTTTTTTGACTGGACCTTTGTTAGGTGATCTGATATACAGGCCTCGATCTTGTCACATTGGGCCAGGAAATCCTATCGACAGACAAAGATCACACTCAATAAAACAATGTCATTATTATCAAGTGACTTTAAATCAAAACATTTTTATTTAAAGGACAAAAGGCTTTACCTGCACTGTCTTTATAAGTCCCTTCTTCTTCATTCTGCAGTCGTTGAAGTTTTCTGGGATGCTCTGTTAGAAGAGAAGAAGTTCTAGGTTTTCTATATGTGACGCATTAATAAAACATGCCCCGAAAGAATAAACACCTAAATCAAAATAGATTACCATGGCATCTATCTGCTCCAGAATCTTCATGAACTGCTCAGCTGCTATTTTCACTCTATGGTCTAGTTTCCCCAGAGCCTCTGCCTGGAGGTCTTTGGCCAGGAAGCCCTGGATAAATTAGGAACACCGGGACATTTAAAAATAGAAAAAGGCAGTGCAGGAGAAATATGCAAATCGAAAACTACAAAGAAATCCTTACATTCTTGAGTCCAGTTAGCTCCCCGTCTACTTTCTCCAGCTTTTTAGCCGTTAGTTCCACAGATTTCTCAATGTCCTTCAGCTTCTTCAGTTCTGCTTCTTCCTCAGGACTATTCTGTTGAGAGATTTTAGAGAGTTTGTTATTTGATCACATATTCAGTCACCCATGAGAAATTTGACACATGTAAACGCTTTACCCGCTTTCCAATCATCATGAGCTTGCAGCCTTCTTTTATCCCATAGGTGGATAAACTCTCCTCCATGTCCTTCAGGGATTTTCCTGCCACAGTGAAGAAGGTGAGGTTAGAGCGGTCGTACAAATAATAAGAATATTAAAGCTTGTTTGGCTGAGAATCCTAAGAGACCTTGAATCTACCTTTGAAAATGAGTTTCTGTGAGGCTGCTGGGACTCCGGTGGTTTGAACGAGAGCGTCTGACAAGTCTTTGACAGTCGGACCCTTCCCATCGTCAGGAACAGTTAATGTGATGCTGTGCTTATTTGATCCTGAAGTTAAGAAAAGACACCAAAACTGTTCTTCACTTTCCTGTGTGGCAAATAATATCTTCACGGAGTCAAGTGCATGACTTGGTTATTAGGGAAACTGTTCAGATGCATTGATTCAACAGCAGTGAACAATGCTTTATTTCATTTTTAGCAAATGTTACCTGCACTACAAAATAAATGTGTTTAAACACAATTACTGAATACATATTTCAAGCATTCAATCAAATTAATCGTGATAGTTTTTGATATCGTCTATAAAACATTTATAGTGTTTGACCATATCGAAGCCTTGGAGGAAATCTTTTCCACGGAGCCAATGTTAGGCAACAGCTACAGTCCGTTAGCTACAGTACGTTAGCTATCCGGTTCCTAGCTACACGACCGGTGGTCGTCAGTAAATCGACATGTTAATTCCTTGCTAACACGTCACGGTTTGTCGTTTAACATGTTAAAAACATTCTTTACCGTTTGCAACTGTGACTGTGATGGTTTGCTGTGACATTTTCCTTCCTGGAGTCTACACACATCAACATGGAACCACAAAGCTAACCGCTGCTGCTGCTGCTGCTGGACACGGACTACTTCCGGAGGCACACCGGAAACACTTCTCGTGGCGCTTTGATTTTTTTTTATTTTTATGGAAACTTTCAAATAGAAATGAATCAATAAGAAAATGCGAATGAAACTGATTGAGGGAACTTGTTCATGTAAAGAAACAAGACACGTTTCTCAACAGTATTTTTATTTTATGGATTAATCACGTGGTTAAACTTGGAGACACGTTCAGACTGTTGGTGTGACATGTCTTCTTTTTTTTTTGTCTTCTTCAGAATAAGAGTTTGCCTGCAGGCACAACGCACGCTGGACACCTGGCTCTGTGGCGCAATGGATAGCGCGTTGGACTTCTAGACAAACACGAGTGCAGTGATTCAAAGGTTGTGGGTTCGAGTCCCACCAGAGTCGGTCTTTTGGGATGAAGACAAATAAATCACCATCAAAGTCACTGCGGAGTCTTCAAAGCACTCTTCTTCACCTCTCATCAAACCGTTTTGTGCGAAAGTTTGCCCGTTAAACAAATCTGAACAGTTATAGTGACAGTAATTACTGAGCAACAGCGCCCTCTGCCGCCACACGTGATGATTCACTCTTTCACAAAACTTCACAAACAGATATAATTTTCGCAATTTGGGCTTTCTCAACCACCGTGGTGGATATTACCCACGATAGTTAGTTCTACACTTCTCACAGGAGATCGTACACAAGCACCTAAGTGACATAGAGCACAAACACATGTTCAGGGCGAGGGGTCGGGACAGAAGTGGCTCCATTCTCTTTGTTTTGATCAAAGCTTCAAACCAATTTTGAAGCTGATATTTTAAGGTAAAATGTTTTGCTTTAATCTGAGAGTTTTAGACAAAGCCAGGCTAGCTGTTTCCATGTTTCCAGTCTTTAAGCTAAACTAAGTGTCTTGTCCTTGTAGTCTTGTATTAAATGGACAGATATAAGTGTTATCAATGCTATCATCTAAGAGAGAAAGCAAGTAAGACGTTGCTGGCGGCTCAACAGCAGCCTACACTTCCGCTTTACATCGGGGGCCTTGAAGCCATGTGGGCCCTGTGTGACCCTTTACAAATAATAATTAACCACAAAATGTTGATAGTAGTCCACCTTCTAATTAAAGTGTTAGATTCTGTGTTTTCTTGGCCAGCAGCTTAATGTCAAGGTCTGCGAGTTGAGTTCAATCCACAGAAATAAGAACCCACAGAGAAAGAACAATTAGATAATTATCAATGAATCAATAATTCAAGGTTGCTGTAAAACACAATATTTATTTTGCATGTTTCAAGTAGCCTAAAGATATTTTGAATAGATGAGTGGCAATCATCTGTACCACAAACAACACACAGAACTTAAAATAAATTAACACTAGGGTGAATGAGAAGTCAAGTGTTAGACACGAGGCCGAAGGGCAGAGAAGGAGAAGAATATGTTTTTTAAAAAGGCCACATGCTAGTACAGTAGTAGTAACAACACATAACCACACAACTTCAAAATCGTAGTGTTTCAGGTCAAATGGTTTTTGTATGTACAGTGGAAACGGCTTATAGTGATCACAGATATTGCGATCAACCTTCTATATGGATCAAAAAGCTTGGGACAGAATTATTGTGTGCGCACGCATACGCAAGAGTGCAATGTTAGCTTTCCCTCAAGTTCCAGAACTATAACACAGAAGCTACAGAATTTGTCAATCGCTTTTAGTAATAATTTTGTCCCGGGACAAACATGACCACTTCAATCGATTTCCACTGTATTGAGTGTTACTCTACATATAAAAGTGTTTTCAGGTGAAGTGCAGTGGTTTTGACCCGCTCCTGGTTTATGTGGCAGGAATCTGCGGGAGGCCGAACTCATCCACCAACACTCCGTCCTAAAACCAAAGAGGAAAACGCTATTAACGACAAACTTCTGAATATATATTTGTATTTCAAGTGTTTATTATTCATTTGACTAGATCTTGTTCGACAGTGCAAAGGTTCAGTCGAAGCGAATCAGAGCTGCTTGTGAACAAACCACACAAATAATTCTACTTTTTAAGCAGGTTAAAAACAGATATATTACTTTTACAAAAGAAGTTAAGTTTTCACCCATGTCTGTTTGTTGGATGTTTGTTTTACACAAAAACTACAGATTTCCACCAAACTTGTTGAAGGGAAAGAACCTGAGTCTGAGTGTCGGATGTGATTTAAGGGGCGGATCCAGGACTTTTATCACCTCCTTATCTATGTTTTATGAGGAGTAATCGTACCTTGTTTGTTTTGCTGTCACTGGGGATTCCCTCAGGGATCGACGGAGCAGCTGATGCCTCATCCAGGTAGGTGTTGTCATCATCCAGCAGCAGCTCATCACCCAGTGCGTCCAGCTCTGAAACCACAGTTACACAGTCACTGTAGATATGTAGACTCAATAACTACTCCTGTTTCAAAGTGTCTCTGAGGGAAGGTACTGAAGTATTTTTAAAAGCAAATGCAAAACAAATGTGTCGGACACAGTCGGGTCTACCTGCTTCAAGATCATCCTCGTCTATCTCTGGAGTGCCGTAGCTGCGGCTCAGGGCCTCTTGTACCTCGTTGGCATCTTCCATCATGTCCTCCAGTTGATCCTGTAAATCCTGGTAGTCCAAAAACAAGTCATCACTTTTAGTAACAGATACTCACAACTGGAGTAATGATTTTCACTTGGGATTTTCCACATGGTAGAAATCACTGTTAGCAAATTAAATTGCTGTTGTATACGTACTGATAAACAGAGAAAACATGACTTGATGTGGCCTAAACCATCAATGTAATGACTGCTGAGAAGTTTTAGAAACAGTGCAGTGGTGTGTAACTGTTGAGATTTAAATGCGACAAACTCACATCAATCTGATCAAGTTTGACGTCCTTGTAAGCCCTCTTCATTTCCTTTGCACCGATCTTCATAGCCTCCACCTGCAAACAAAAATAAAGTCAGAATATTTAGTTAGAAGCTGGATTGATCAGTGTGACCCTAAACCAGACCACAGTGACGTTATCACAGCGTGTGGCTCTTACTGTTGTCTTAGTGTCCTTTAGGGTCTGGATTGTGTAGTTTGCCTGCTCCATGTTGAAAGACTGCTGAGCCAGCTGCTCCCTTTGACCTTCATACCTGTGGGAGAAAAGTTCACAATGTCACACTAATATATATATACAGAAATACATATACAGAAAATGAGTAAGAGAAACAGAATTTTGATAAGTGAGTCATCATTTCAGTAATTTCTTGTTCCAAACTAAAACTGGTTCCATCCTCTGAATAGTGAAAATCTGCCTTTTCTTGACTTTAATAAAAACAAAACAACTGATCACATTTACTTGATGTCTAGGGAATTTTTTCCTAGCGCTAGTCAACACTGATGAAGGCCAGTATGCCGCAATGTGCAGGTTCATTGTTGTCTTCATCTTTGCTTTTTAATGTCTTTATTGTATCATAATACATTGTACATAATACATAAATTGTAAATCCTTCTATATACAACTGTAAAATATTTGAAATCTGACATCAATATGAAGTTTTCCAACTTCGGTTAGAAATCTTTGATAACATTATGTGACGGAACATTTAATATTCAAAAAACAAATCAGCTAGTGATCTGTGATGTTCGTACTGTGACATCTTAATACATATCTGCCAACATACTGTGTACATGACATCTGTAGTTATTGACTCTAGTGAAATAATGACTAGTGTTAAAAGAACCTGATCAAAAGAAGGACTCACATTCTCTTCTGCTTCAGCACTCTCAACGCCTTCTGTTTCACCATGTTCTGCATTTAAAAAAGGAATAAACTCAGTTTCTTGTTTGCCACGATTGTAAAGAACGACAATGACACTGCGTCTCTTGTAGTGTCTCACCTTGGAGGGCCCGTCTCTCATCTTTTTCATCTGATCCTTGTACTTGACGAGCTCAGCGTCTAGTCTGCCAATCTTCTTCTCTATGGACTCTGACCTGGCATCCACCTGACACAGGGTAGAGATGATTTATGATTTCACAGCAGATTAAACTCAGTGTTAACAACATGCCTGTGTCTGAGCTCTGTGTGTGTGTGTGTGTGTGTGTGTGTGTGATGGAGGGGAACAGCTCTGTTTCTGTGCAGGCTGACGATGCTAGCTACATAATAAAAACACATGAACAACAACACAGCTGAACTTACATTACCAATACAGTCCGACAGGTTGGGGGGGGGCCCTTTAGGTTTCCCGCGTCCGAATATCCTGTTCATTTTGCCCACGTGTGTTTCACCTCTGAGCTTTTCTTTATCTTTGAAGACACAAAAACAACCAGACGATCCAGGATTTCTCCATAGAACACACCCGGAAGTAACGGTTCCGACGGGCACGGCTCCCATTGGTCGGCGTGAACAGTTGCGGCCAATGAGGGTTTAGACTCCCGCCCCCGCGCGGCGAGCGGAGGAACAGCAGCTGTAGCAACGGACCATTGTCTCCGTGGAAACGTTCTTCAGCTGCAGCCTTTGTTAAACCTGCAGCAGCACACAGCGGATCTATGTCTGATTCTATGAGTGAAGAGTAATGTAGACTGGTTGTATCAGATTGTCACATATGCATCACTCCCATGGACAGTTTATCAATCGTGTTATAACAGAAACAACAACACTATAATAGTTATTGCAAAGAAGGGGAAGCAATTGACAATAATTCTATACAACTACTTAAACATCCACTGTGTCTACAAATCACAGCAGTAACTTCCTTTAAATCTAACACATACATTTATCATATTCCATTCCCAGATTTGACCTTATTCTGGTTTTTATTATTGTAATGGGTGGCCTTGCTTAAATTGTAATGTTTGTATTCATGTATTTATTCTTTACTTGTTTTTAAGTTGGGTTTTTTATTTATAAAAATCCTGGCAACAACTTTGAGTACAAGTATATAATAAGTTTAGTAGAAGTATAGTTAAAATCTCCCTGCTCTTTAATTAATGCATCAATGGGCCATTAGAGCATTTAAGTGACTGGAAAAGCCTGTATGGACAAAAATCCATTCATTTATAACTAAACCACAAATAAAAAGTGGTTTGAAGGCAAGAATCCCATCAACATCTATTACCAACATTTATAAAAAAAAATATTATCAAGGAGCTAAAATAACACATATTCCTCATGACCTGGCAAAAAAACTATTGAATAATATCATATAGAACTTATTATGCTTTAATCAAGTAATTAGTTACTAGTTGCCATTTGTAAAGGCATCCTTCTCTTTTTTTTTAAAAGTGGCACATTAATTGCCTAACAATACTTATTAGGACATAACACTAATACACTTTCTATAAATAGAGCTTTGTCATCCCCTCTGAACTGTGACCTGCAACAGAAGCTGTTTGTGACAGCTTCTCTTGAACAATGAAGCCTATTAAAGCTTTATTAGACTTCCTGTGTGAAATGGCTCGCTAATAAAAATTTATCCTCAACAGACAAAGAAAGAGAGCAGGAAGAAAATCATTATTCTTCGCTGTAATGGCTGACAGCTTCATCAGTGCTCACAAAGAAAGACTGATTTAAATTGCCCCTCAGAGTTCTGACAATCTCTGCACACCATTAGTCCTGTCAGCTGATGTGAGGAAGGACGCATCTAATACGATCTGCTGACCAATGTCAACCACAGGAGAAAACACAGTGTGCCCTTATAATAAAAACAATAAAAACATCATTACACACCCACCACTGCAGCGCCGGAAAACATACTTGATGTCATGTGGGATTAGTTTCGAGGACAACCCACCATATTCTATACAGAAGCAGTGATTTGTTTATACCAGCAGGGTCATAATGTTTCCCAGTTCCATCCGCACTTGGCCCTCGCTTTTTCACGAATATACATTATATATATATATATATATATATATATATATATATATATACAAAATGTATTCATCATATTACTAGAAAATTATCTAGTTTACTTATTATGTTTCCTTTAAAATATTTTTGCGCTTGCAGATTTACTGTGTTTGAATGTTATTTCTGTGAAAAAGGGTTATTGATTATAGTTTATATATCTTGATGAAATCACACATTTACTGACTGAATATAAAGATATAAACTAAAATAATAATAATAATAAATAAGTCTGAAAAACTCAAGAACCTGCCACAAAACGGCATCTCCAGAATATGTCTTTATTCGAGGCCCCGTTAGGAGAAACCATTGGAAATGAATCACAGCACGATCCTCTCCCAGAGTTTTGGTGATTTGAATCAATGTGAACCATCATCAACCAGTGATTTTGGCAGTGATGGAGAGGAGGAGGTTGTGCAGCGGGTGTGAATAACTGTTGGATAAAACGTGGGGGGAGGGGTCACTGGTCAGACATGGTGACAAGGATCGTGAAGGGACGTATGGACAGAGTGAGAAAGTGGAGGTGAAGGACACCGACAGATCAGTAGTAAATACGGAAGGCAGAGACAGAATGCGAGGGAAAATTGGTTGAGCAGTTTTTGCGTACGGAAAACAGATGAAGACATGATCTCCTTGACGAGGGTAATTAAGCTGCATGCAGATCTTCACAGTGAAGGTTAGGTCCAAGGGGATCTGGTCTCTGTCTCCACCATCAAAATGTTCTCAACACACACTTGAGCATAAACAGATCGGGAAAATCCGAAACCATAAAGAGCCACAGCTGCAGGAACTTAAATCTGAAGCTCCTCACACTTTGTAAACTGCGCTGCAAGGCCATCGACACAATAGCGCATCTCACCATGGAAACACTGGCTTTGAGGCTGAGCTGAAAGGCATTAATATGAACCAACAGGAAAAAAAATCTGTCGGATTTGTGATGTTATTCCATTCAGCATTCTGAGTGTTAAACAAAGGAGGAGAGAGAAATGAATCAGTCTCACATTTTCTTTGGTGATTAATTGTGATCACCGGCTTTATTGTGACTTCGTTGAAGCACATTCTGACATTCAGAGCTATAAGATACAGCAAAATGTAAATACAGCATATAACAGATACAAGGAGTTTACAAAGCAGCAGCACATTATACGCGTGTGGGGCTCAGACCTGGGCTGACAGCAAACAGTGGGTTATCCACTGTGAGGCCAACAGGAGTAGATAGAGCTTCAGTAACCTTCAGCAGTAAGTTTATACAAGCATATACATTCCGACTCTTAAGGGAATAAATAATCACAAAAACAGATGTGGTTGATTGCTGATGTTTTGGAGCAAGCAAACTTTCAAAGTTAAGACACCAAGGATAAGGCACAAAAACACATCTTCTGCTATAACTACATCTTTATCAGATTTTGGCAGGTTATATATTTATGGTTAGCTCTAGATCAAGAACTCAAACTCTCAAAAGATTTGAATTGAATCTAATATGGTGGATTTGACGAAAAGCTCCAATAATACAAGAAAGACATTAAATCGAATGACTTGTCACAAGAGGTGAATTACAGCACAATAAACAATGGCTCCAACCAGGTGAACTGAAATGAATTCAATGTGCACGACGAAAAAACAAAGGTTCCTTATCTGAATACATTCACTGATTGATAGTTAGAGTAATGAACTAATTGATTCATCATCAGTGAAGGGTAGGTCAAACACATAAAGCTGAGGAGCCTACGCATTGCTATTTAAATTAACTGCTCAAAATCACGTTTCAGGCTGTCGATAATACAATAGAATTTAAAAAACAAACAAATCTGAGAACTGAGAGAATAAATTTATTTTCGTGAGTGGTATGTTGTTATCTTGTTGGTTGTTGCCTTGGAGCCCTCTGCCCAGCTTTCACATGTACTAGTAGTTTCAGACAAGGTGAGAACACGCCAGGACGACATCACTGTGTGCAACACTCGACATCTCCTGGATGTGACGTAGCCTCGCAGCAGGGACGGTTGGAGGGCGAGGAGCAGTGTCGGGTGTAATAACCGCTGCTTCATGCATCAGAAACGTGGACGCAGACGTTTCGAAGCCTCGTCTGTCGTCTTGTCAAGACAAAAATATTCAGTATCTGCTCGTGGTGAATTACGGAGGACGATCCCTGAGAGGTCATTAAATATTCTACATAGGGAGACTCCTCAAAGATAAAGGTGATGCTATAAATTTACAGTTCAGCTTAACAACACACCACAATTCACATTAGACACAAAATGATGCTCAAGATTCAGCTTGTGGCTGAAAAAAGGTCTATTACTCTTTTTATCCTGTGCATAAAACTCTCCTTGATCTTTTTATGCACGTGAGAACTATATTATTCATTGAAATGTGAAGGTCTATCGGACGAATAGTAAAATGTGAATATCCACACGGTAAAATACTTTTGGTTTGTCTAGTTTCTTTCATCATCTTTTTTTAATTATTGATATAAACAACAAGATGAAGAACAACATGCTTTGTTTAGATCTTTTTCATTAAAACAACCCGACCTTTTCTGTTGACAAGTTGGTCCTAAAGAGTAAATCATGACAATCACTGGTAGTGCTTTTCGAAAAGCCTCATCTTTTTTCAAAGGTCACTCATACGTTAATAAATTGTTCATTTTTTTGTGGACTACTTACAACTGTGGATTCATACGAGATTTATTCCAAATAAATGACAGTGACCATGTTTCCTGGACGGGACAAGTCACCTGCAGCAGCCTGGCTTGTTGTAGGTCAACAATGGAGGAATAAATTATATCAAGCTTTGGATGCACTGATGAAACTTGTTGGTTTTGGTCTTTTTGTGGGATTTGCTGCAGATTATAACCATTTTACCCTGAACATGCCATTAGACTCTCTAGCCAACCCTCTGGATGAATAAATAAAGATAAGCCCTCTCTGTTAGATGGCACTGGTAATTTGAGTCAAGCCCAGGTCATTGGAGTCCTCCCAGCCCTGACGCATGGAGGACATTTCCATGGCTAGTCATACGGGCCTGGCCTGTCTCATACCTCCATGAGCGTCTGTGGGACACGAGTGGTCCCTCAGGGTGCTCCTCACCCGGCTCACCCCCTGGCAGTCCCTGTGTCCCTTCGTCCCATGGCAGCAAAAGTCCCTGAAGCACCTCTTGAAGTTCTCATCGAGGAAGGCATAGAGGATGGGGTTGAGGCTGCTGTTGGTGTAGCCAAGTGCCACGCAGAAGAAGTAAGCGGCCATGACGGCGGTGGTCTCGGGCACGTTGGCGGACAGGGCCTTGACCAGAATAAAGATGTGGATGGGCGTCCAGCACACCACAAAGACGGCTACCACCACCAGCACCAGGCGCGTGATGCGGCGGAGGTTGCGGTCCTTCTCCCGCGAGCCCGACAGGAGGCGCACGCTCTTCAGCCGCATGACCATCAGCGTGTAGCAGACGGTGATGATGATGACAGGCACCACGAAGGCGAAGATGAAGACACAGATCTTCATAAGCGTGTCCCAGTAGATGTAGGGCTCCGGGAACTGTAGGGCACATTCTGTGGTTCCTGGTAGTTACAGGAAACGAGAGTCAGAGGAGGTTAAAAACAGCCGTCATCTTTATTTAAGCAGAAAAACAAGATGATGTTTAGCAGGTTAATCCTTAGAATTTACATCTTGAAACTTCTTTATTAATCTTATCTCAGAGTTTTACGTTTCCAGTTTGTCTTTGTTTTATTTTTATTTTTTTTATTTAAAGCCAGTAAAGGTAATATATTTTTGACTTTACTGACTAATAATAATCCATAATAACCTTTCAGAAAAATTGAAATCCAGTTATCTGAGAGAAACAGAGAACATTTTAGGGTTAATAACAACTTTGAACAGAAGATGGAGCCAAATGGAAAGTCCAGCACCAAAAAAACTATTATTAATTATCCTCAGGGGAACATGAATATCTGAAATAGATTTCAAGCGAACCGAACCCAGTGCATTTGCCAAGACATTTCACCGAAAACCCAAACAGTTAACCTCAATTAGAACTTCTGAAAAGAAAAGTCTGCAGGGGATCCTTAAGTAAAATTCATCCTCTGAGAACCATGAATATCTGATATAATTTCATGGAAATCAATCTTTTAATTGTTGAAATATTTCCGTTTGAAGTGTTAAACTGACAGAACGAATGATGGACACTGACAACCAGAGACCACAGAGTTTCATCAGCTAATCTATAGTACTCTGGGTCAAGTGCACTGAGCTTAATTGAACAGAGGCTTCATGTGAACATTCACAATTTGTTAGATTGTCGCTGAAAAGAATAGAGGACAGAAAAAATACTCCAAGCCCTATTCTCAGTCGAGTTAGACCCATTGTGTCCGTCACAGCTTCATCCAGTCAAGTAGCTGTGATCCAGGCTCTCATCAAACCTGCATATCCTCCTCTTCAGGAGTTTGAAGGATGCTGCAGCTAATTGGTATAATTCAGAACATGGATGTCAGGATGCAGAGCTTTGGCTTTGATAAGAGTCCGTTTACAGCTGAAAGGATATTTTTGTCTCTATAGCAGACACAGACATGGAAACATCTGGATAAATACAAGGCAAAAGACTGTGAATCCGTACCGGTGTGTAACAGTGTGAATATATGTAAAGTCATGGTACCGTTATTGGTTTGAGTGCTGCCCAGTATCATGGCAGGGATCCCGGCGGCAGACGACAGCACCCAGATGATCACGTTGATGATCTTGGCCTTGACGGGCGTGCGGAAGTCCAGGGCCTTGACCGGGTGACACACGGCCACGTAGCGGTCCACGCTCATCATGGTCAGGGTGAAGATGCTGGTGAACATGTTGTAGTAATCGATGGAGATGAAGACTTTGCACGCCACCTTGCCAAAAGGCCAGGAGCTGAGCAGGTAATCGGTGCTCTGGAAGGGCATGGTGGTGGTGACCAGGGCGTCGGCCACGGCCAGGTTGAAGATATAGATGTTGGTGGCTGTTTTCATTTTGGTGTATCTGTAGTGGCAGGAGATAATAAATAGGTTGAATGGGTTTGATGGACTTTTCCCTGACTTATCTTTGTTTAAATCAAAGTTTTCAGATAGTCGTCTGCTCGGCTTTCTCTCCTCAGAGATCGACCTCAGCCAGGGGTGTCTCAAGGGTTACATAGACTGTAAATAAAGATGGATGACATTACTGCCCCCCAAAAGCGAAGCCAAAGCAAATGTCACCTGGTGGCAGGCTGCGGTATAAATCATAAATCCTGCTCAAACCTAGCTTTGTTTCTGGAAAGTAGGAGGAAGTGGAAATGCGTCTATGCTGTAAACTAAAATATTAAGCCATTCCTGGGGGGGGCCCCTCTCAGCTCAGAGGTCCCAGGCAATTGCCTGCTTTGCCATACCTTGTTGCAATGCCCCTGAACTCAGCAGCTAAAACCCTATGGACACATGTTTAACACAACCTAGAGTAAATTAGACCAAAGCAAGGAAATTAAAGCAAATGGATTATTTCTTATTCAACAATTACAATGAAAAGAAGCTTTTTACCGAACCTGAAATGGGAGAGAGACAAATCTCAGATCACCATGAACCTTGTTACAAGGAATTGTCATCATTTGTGAAGAAGCATGTTTCAGAATAATGCAGCTTAGCAATACATGAAAAACCAACACATTGTGTGCACCTGCAGGAGAAACACGTGAGAGGCACAAACAATGATGGATTCACGTCATTCTTAACTCAATCAATTCATGACAGCAGTTGAACTAAATTGCAAATCCATGAGCCCATTCAAAATCTTAGATTCCAAACTGAAACGAAAAACTCACCTGATGATGACATACATCACCAGACAGTTGCCCACCAAGCCCACCACAAACACCGCGGAGTACACCGCCACTATGATGGGGATGATGGGCGACAGGGGCTCGGGCTCGGCGTCCCATGTGCCGTTGGGTGTGTAGTTGAAGAGGTCCGGGGAGCCGGGCTGCCAGGGGAAGTTTGGGACGCACTCCTCCGGCTGGCCAGAGGGACACCGCTCCTCCTTGAAGATGTGCACCACGCTGCTCTCCATGGCGCTGGACGCACAGACTGACCGCTGCTGCTGCTGGGCGTAAACTGCGCGCTCCGGTTACACAGATGTCAGCAAAGACGAGGATTTCTCACGACTGCTGGTGGGAAAAAAAAAAAAAAAACACCAAATAAACAGTGCCTCAGCACAAACGATGGCTACGGTGAGTGACAGCGCGCTCAAGGACGTTTCATGTTCCATCTTACCTGTTTTTGTTCTGCTTCCAAAAAAAGTTCCTTCAATTAAAACAAGGCTGGTGCCGAGTGTCTCTCTGGAGGCACGGCCACAGATGAAATCCAAATGTTGAGGGTTTGACAGAAACAAAAGGTTTCTTGGTAGTTGTGTGGAGGAGCAGAAAACCCACTGCCTGTGCCACCGCTGCGTACCCGGAGGTGCGCACTCGAACCCCGACTGCTCATTCAGTGACATCAGAGGCTGAGCCAACAACACATATCACAGTACCCAGCAGAACAACTCTCACCACATCACAGTCACACACATTCACCACACAATCTTTATCCAACGCTGTGTTCAGATTTTATTGTTGTGCGTAAAATCTGGTAGAATGCGTAAGAATTGACCCCTCACGCGCGTAAGTCTCCCAATCAGACACCTGCTCGCTCATTCCTAAACTTAAATAAACCTTCTTTATATATTTATACATATATTTTGAATTAGTTCACTGTAGTAAAACCAGATCTGCTTCAGCATTACGTTCACATCTTTTTGAAAATGTTTTTTTTTCCCATCAGCGCTGCCATCAGACGTTCCCTAGCAACTCCTTTCAGATCTACCTCTGCAATGCAAACACGCAGAGGCCGGTCAAGTGTCGAGGAGACATCTAGTGGGAAGGACACTTCACCTGCAGCCTTCACACGATGATTAAAGCGGTGCGTGTACGAACCAGCAGCGAGGAGCTCTGGTGTCAGGAGAAAACTTTTAGAGACGGAATTAATGAAAAAAACTACTCATCACTTCAGTTCATAACATTTTAATCAGAAAACGCTTTACTGGAGATGACAGTTGTCATCTATCTATCTGTCTATCTATTGTCCATCCATCCACCTATATATCTGTCTATCTATCTATCTATCATCCATCCCCCTATCTATCTATCTACAGTATCTATCTATCTATCGTCCATCCATCTATCTATCTGTTTATCTATCTATCTGCCTGTCTGTCTATCTATCCACCTATCTATCTATCTATCTATTTATCTATCTACAGTATCTATCTATCTATCTATCGTCCATCCATCCATCCATCCATCCACCCATCTATCTGTTTATCTATCTATCTATCTATCTATCTATCTATCTATCTATCTATCTATCTATCTATCTACCTAAAGTATATATCATCCATCCCCCATCTATCTAGTTATCTATCTATCTATCTGCCTGTCTGTCTATCTATCCACCTATCTATCTGTTTATCTATCTATCTATCTATTTACAGTATCTATCATCCATCCCCCATCTATCTATTTATCTATCTATCTACAGTATCTGTCTATCTCAGTGCTGCTATCTTTAATAACATCACTGCCCCTCCTCCTCGTTTTCACCCACTTCTCTTCTCTCTCTCTTCCTCACTCTTTCTCCTTTTACACAAACTGGTTGAGGCAGATGTTCGCTCACACTGACTCCAGTTCTTCTCGAGGTTTCTTCCTGTTAAAATACTTTATTTCTTACCACTGTCGTCAAATGTTTGATCGTCATGGGAACTGTTTCACTTAAATATCTCAGGATATCGACCTGACTGTGTCGAGTGCCTTCAGGTAATGCATGTTGTGATTTGGTGTTGTATAAATTAAAGTGAACTGAACTGAATTATCAATTCAATACTCTGGCTCCACATTTAAAACCTGCATCGATTAGGATGCCCACTTCAAAGACCAAACTTGGCATTACAGACATGATAAGATAATTTAGTTTTAAAATAAAAACCCCAGTCCTCATCTTTTTCTCTCCCAGCAGATTAGACAGACTCAGCTCATAATGAAGCAGGTGCTGTTTCTCCTCCTTTATGCACAAACTCTCGTTGCTTAGAGACCCATCAAGGCCAGATGTTGCTTAAGTGACAAAGCCTCTCTGTAGGTGTGTTTCTATTGTTCAGGTCTGTGCCGGCTTCACTTTTAGAGACCGAGTGTTTGTCAATGCAAATATTTGATGCAACTTTTACTGAGGTGCCACTTGAACCTTGGACTGACGGCAGATCAAAAGTGAATCGCGTCCCTCTCTTCACACAAGAGCCCTGGTGGAGGAAAAGAAAAACACAGGTTCAGTATTTACCTTTAATGGTAATGATATGGTGCCACAGGATTGTTTGCACAGAGATGTGATCTGCTGCTCCTCCTCTGGCACTCGAAACAGGTCGTTTTATTTGAGTTCCAGAGGAGGAGAGGAAATGTTTGTTGTGTAACCTCCAGGTCATAAAGAATGAATCCACGTTTGTGTTCTGCCTGTATGAGGTGGTGACTGTTTAATAAATACATCAATCAATGGTTTCATGATGAAGGCAGGTAGTCAATATTATCGAACCTGGTGATTTCATACTCAGCTTCTTAGTATAGTAATATTTAGCTAAGTTCAGACATTGACTTCATTAAACTGGATTTATATCTGGAGACCTTTTTACTGATGCACTTTAAAATTAAATAATCCCAAACATGGATCATTTGGCACCAGATCAGTATCCACGATTGATCCCCCTAAGACGCAGCAGAAATGTAACTGTGGTAGGTTTTGTGAATTTAGTGCCATGGCTCTAACACAAGGAAACATCAATATTCTCAGCTGAAGCACCTGGAGGATTCAAATATTCATATCAGTCTCTGGCCTTGTCCTGTGAGTCAGATTCCTATAGGTGAATAAAACTGCCTCATCTGTCCACAGATGTTTCCATATGGAGACGTCACAAACACCTGAGGAGCGCTCACACATTTATTTTTTTTTGTAAGAATAGCTTTGTATGCAGACGCTGCCTCACAGAGATCATCACCTTCATACACATCCCAGATGGTGTGGTCTCCTCAGATCTGCCCGATTCTGCTCCAGATGAAAATGAATTGGTTTGTGAAAAATGTGATCGGCATGTGTTCTATCGTCTCCCACGAAGAGTTCAGCTGCAATTTGGCACAGATGCTGTGTTTCTGCTCCGCGGACGACATCCTGGAACAAACTGTTCTTTGCTTTTGGTCACGCTTGTCCATATGATGTCAGAGAACATTTGCTCTTAGTGGCGGTGCCGACATTTGAGAAGTGAATTGTCGAAATCACAGAACACGTTGTGCATAGAACCAAACTGATGCTCACACTGTCAACAGTGAACTTCTAAATGAGTGCACAGAACACACGCTCGTCCTCTGAACACGTCTCTCCCAGTTGTACATTACTGTTTGAAATCTTCACCAGACTGTACATGTGTTAGGTTATGTTACTTAGTGCTCATTTACATGCAGTGTTTGACTGCACTGGATGATGTCGCTATTCCTATTTTTTCGTTAAATACACATTCTTTAGCATTAAGTTTCAGGACAACCAGAAATCTAGAAATTACGCACATTTGACACGTTATGGATTTAATGTGGCCTCGTTGTTAATGTTGACCATGTAAAAATCCATATGGCAACATTTAGAGTCATGTTTCTTTCTACCTCATTAAATAAATTCCAATATTCTCTATTATTTTTAAATTTTTTCAACTCTGCTTTGGTCTCCATGCAAATCTCTTTAGTGGCTCTAGTAAATCAAAACAGTAAAGTTATAAAATCAAAACAACAAGCTGGAATATACAGTACATTTTTCGTGGAACTGAAATTGAAAGAAATATTAATAATAATAACATTAATTATCATAATATATATATTCTTTGGACGTCATTTAGTTTCCATGATGTGTTGCAGCTTTCAATTAACAGGGAAACTTTAATCTGAGATTTGAGGGAATTTGGGGTGGAAATACTTTATATTATTTTATTTATTGTGAGGATACTTTTGCATGTGTGATGAGGAGGACTGGGATCGAACCTGCGAGTGAAACAAGATAACGTTCATGTGTGCAAAATCTCTATTATGATCCTGTAAAACATGATATACTTTAAACCAGATCTCACTGTTTATATTTACAGGGATTCAGTACAGCCTCCAATCATCGACATGTGAGTGCACACAGACCAACAGGAGGATGATTACTGCACCTGCACTGGGTCGTAAGCGACATGACGTCGGGCTCTGAAAACCTCTGGAATTGGATAATCCCAGTGTTCATGCAGCACACAGTTAATTTCATCACACAAGACATATCAATAGCGTCATGTTACACATAATAGGATGATTGTCAAGCTTAAGGTCGAGGCGTAAACACTCTGCTGGGGCTATTTGTGATTTTCCTTAGATGCAGCCTAAAATCGAGCTTCACGCTGCGTGGCTGCCGGCAGAATCTTGTTTTGATTGTCACTATGGGAACGGACCATCCCTGGCGAAGGTTGCAAGCAGCTAAAGTGGATTTGTGTGACGGAGGAGGGGCAACGGTACTCTTCTCTCGGGGAGCTCATCTAAAAGTCTGCCAGGCAGAGGAAGATGTCGAACATGAACAATTTGAGGGCAGAAGTCAAATCATCTGAATGTTTATTACATATCCAGATACAAGAGGGAGGAGGAAAACTTAATTGAAAAGTTAGGACACAAAACGAGGCAGCCGTCACCTCGGGGAGTTTCGTCTACAAAACAGTTTCGACTGCTGCTTTGACTGTGAACAACAAATGTGGGTAGCATAATAAAAAGGCCAGTGGCAAAGAAAAACCATCTGCTTCAGGGTTCAGGAGCAGCACAGGGAGCTCAGAGCATCGGCCACTGTAAATAAGCGCTCAGAGAGGACAGCAGGGCCCAGCAGCTGCAGCCAGAGGCAGCGATAAATATTGACTCTGTACGTCCCAGCCTGGTTCTTTTCAGGGGTCAAAGCACGAGAGACGAGCTTGCGAGGACAGAAGGGTCATTTGAAAGCTCGGCTAACAAAGTGTACGAGTTATAGACTGTAGGTGGGATTTCTATGATGCTCAGAGGACTGATGGGGCGTTTTGTTTTGTTCAGGTTGGACGTTGGAGACGACTCGAGAGTTGAAGAACAAACTAGAAACTTGTCTCGTGGAGTTTAACTTCAGCACTGACGGCATATGGCAGCAGATTTCTCCTGGGTGTGCAGCTGCCAGCCTCGCCATGAGAGCAGAGCGAGTGGAGCAGACTGGAGCTGTTGTAAATACTAACGAGAAGAGCATTCAGTGAACAGCATACCTTCAAGGCCAAAGAGTCTGGATCTGCACCCAATGGTGCACACACACAAGGAGCAGCCCATTAAATATACAGGATTTTGATTTTTGATTTTCTGCCTTTGTGTGAACACTTTTTGTTATTACATGTTTTGATGATGCCTTTTTATAAAATGCATCATTTAAGCTCTTGTAATCGTATAGTGGAACGCAGCTCTTGACATCGATGTGATTATTTCCTTTACCCACAATGCAACTTGACTTGTAATGTCTAATGCCCCCCTGTATACACATGTATTCACCCATGTCCATTTGTTAGTTTGTCAGCACAGATTACGCAAAAACTACTGAATGGATTTGCCTGAAACTTGGTGCAAAGCTGGGATATGGACCAAAAACGAACAAGTTCAGTTTTGGCCGGATATTGACAAAAGGGCTTATCCTGGAATGTTTGTGTTGTTTCTTTTTCACTCAACTGTCATTTCTCAGGGAATAATTTTTGGATCTTGATGGAAAAACTCAGGGGACTGATATATATGAGTGTGTGCAGTTTGTTTCAGATCCAAATCAAATTAGAGATCTAGCAGATTTAAATGTGGTGAGGTCCAGTATGTGCTCCATTGCATCCATTCTAATGTCTGAATATTTTTTATTTCCTATTAGTGTTTATTTAAATAGTCAACAGACCGTTTGACAGATAATGTCAAGATACCTAAGTAGTGATTTGAAATTCCTGAGAAACAAAACAAGTATAATTAGACCCATGTGTCTGCATTCACAGGTGTTGACATTGATGGAGCTGATTTGTTCTACGGGGATTCATTACAGGGAAAAATAGAAAAACAGCAAATAAATTTGGGAGAGAGGGCACAAAAAGAAAAACTGCCTTGAGCACTGTTTCTTATATTTACTTTCAAAACTCCAGTCTCAACCAACACCTCCTATTATAGGAGTCGGAAACAGCTGTTGTCTCTTCTGTTGTTGTGTAAACTTTATAACGGAGTGTTGCAGTGTGTGTGTGTGTGTGTGTGTGTGTGTGTGTGTGTGTGTGTGTGTGTGTGTGTGTGTGTGTGCTCATGCTCAATGAGCTGAAACAGTGAAGGCAGAGCTGTGAAAAACATCTGCACTGTGAACGGTCAAGGGCAGGGTGAGGGGGTGGGAAAGGTCACACACCTCTGATTCAATTGAAATTCTGATGGAAACACAGTTGATTCCCCGACTCTCATCCACATTAAAAACATAAACTGCAAATGAACAGCCAGTCAGGGAACATGGTCATTTTTCTGAGAGATGGAAGTGAAAAGCTGTAATGTTTGAAGGACTGAAGGGTTTGGACTGTGAGGAAGCTCATACACATTTAACAAATGGCTGGAAGCTTCTGTGTGGTTATCACACAACAATGAAAACCTCAAGGCTTCCTACAAAACATCCCACCTCTTGTTGACAATAGATAAACCTGTGTTAGAGTGTGTGTGTGTGTGTGTGTGTGTGTGTGTGTGTGTGTGTGTGTGTGGACTGTGGATGAAAATTCGCTCCGATGTCACCTTACCTTCATAAACTTTGTATTATATGTTGAGAGGAATAGGAGGCGTTACTGTCTTTCAAAGATAATTCTTCAGAGGAGGAGGTCTGGAGAGCCTCCTTCAGGAATGAAGTTAGTTATAGGGATAACTGCTGAAAAAGAAAGTAGATTGATTCCATCACAAGATTAAATTGTCGGTTGTTTTCTTCTTATTTTGTCGTCTATAAAGTTAATCATTTTATAAATGTGTAAAAGAAATAATGTTTTATGTCAATATTTATCAAGTTGTTGTGGTAGTTTTGAAAGATTGACCAAGATTGACAGATTGATATGCAAGAATAAACATGAGAAAACTCAAATAAAACACTTAATAAATAGCATTACTCAGCCGTTCTCGACATGCACCACTGTCACGACTTGGAAACTAATCGAAGTTGCTCTGATAAGAAAACTCAATGATGTTAGTAAGTTAATCTCAGTCAATCTCTTCGTAATTCAGCAATCGCGATCTGAACGACGGCTGAATCCTGCACAGGAAATACCGACGTGTCACAGCAGCACCATAGATGAGCATCTTTATTGGGACACATAGAATGTTTTACAGGTTAAGACTTAAATAACTTGCAGTTTTGTACATTATCACAGACATAAAGTGCGACATAAATCACCACACATCACTGAGCTGAGGGGCCACGTCACGAAACACGACAGTCAAATCAAGTAACATCGAGGATCATTTGAACTGGAGGAGAAAGTCACGTGGTTTTGATTTTCGAGTCGTTACACAAAATGAGCTGAAGACGATCAAAATGCTCAATGCACACACTCATCCACACAATAATACACAAACACACATGCACAGGAACAGTTCAGCTTCGAGCCGCCACGGCCGGGGCTTGCTGCTGGTCGCTGGACTGGAGTTGTCGTCCGAGGTACTCCCTGAAACACAAAGACACAACAGATTGGACGTCTCAGTTCAAATATTCACATCACTCCTGGATTTGAATTTCATCAGAGTGTAGATTAAAGCATTTAACGTCCTTTAAAGAAGACGCGTGATGCTGTTTCAGTTTTTCTTTCCTTTACCTTATTGTACAAGTTTCCTGTTAAAGCTTCTCTCCCCACAGAAAACCTCCTGAACGACTTGTCAGGAGTCCGGCTGATACTTCCTGGGTATCATGACGTCATGTTGATTTTCATTGTTTGTAATCGTGGCCTTAAAGATCAGTTTTAAGTTTAAAGTGAGCTTCTGGTTTCCAGAAAGACTCTCCTGCTCATTCTGACCCAGACATGGTGCCATTTTAAATACTAAAATATCCCACACTCTTGAAAGGTCACACTTCTTCTTCTCCACGCTTTTTTTTTGGCAGTAACATTTTCAGACTTGCTATCATGACACTCACCTTAAAGCTAACAGAAATATCAAATGCCTCTCAGAACCCTCAACATGGAAAAGGCTGCAAAATATAGAAATCACGTCCTTCCTTAAAACATTCTAAGATCCGTGCTGATAAACATCATACGCTGTTTTTTTGTTCTGGTTTTCTCAAACAAAGGTTAGGAGCAAAATTAAGTATGAATCACAGCAGTGGGTTGATAACAGCACAATATACAAGAGTCATTCAAAGAACTTTTCTGATTCTTAGTCTCAGGACTGAGCTCCAAGTCAGTTTTTAAATTCTTTGTTCACTGCTGACTACAAGCTGATACATAACATCAAAGCAGTTACATACTGAAAAATCGTTTTTAAAGAGTCAACTCTGTGCATTAACCTGGGAATTTCACTGTTTAACGTAAATAAAGAGAGAAATAACTTATTCCTGGTACAACAGGAAAAAAAACCACTGACTCCTGGGAACACGAGTCCCTGCACCTGCACCTGCTCTGGATCAATTCAAATCTATCAAACAGCAGCTTTTAAGCCTCCGTCCCCTGTTTCTGTCAAGTATTTACTCAGTGTTTCAGCTTTTAAGAGGGAAAAATCCTCCACCATCACAAATCTCCAAACTTCCCTGGAGCTGTCAGTGATAACCTTTAGCTGGGCTGCAAATAACAGCTATATGTTGATTCAGAGAATAGCCAGCGAGCTCATAAAGGCAGATGGCAATAATTGTAATGAAGCAAAGTTTGGGCCTTTTATATATTCATTTTAAATTTGACTGCAAGTGCAACGGAAAATTATCAGGTTATACTGTTATAAAAAGATGGTGCCAGCCAATGAAAGGTGGTGATAAATAAAAATTAAAACACCTTATTTCCAATGAATCTAATCTCGAAGGTGCGAGTCACATTATCACATTGTTGCAGGAAAACAAAAACACGCTGTCATTTCAAATTGCTGAAATGCTGCACTCGGGGTCTGTTTTCCCAGGTTTTCACTTGTCGGCACATTTCATGATATTATTACACTATTTTGTCCGAAGCAAAACACAAATTCAAACCAACACATTGCAAAGGCTGTACAGTCATTTTTTTGCAATACACTATTTCTATTTGTGTACTTTCTTCTTTTCCATTTGTACTGTGCTGATTCTTTTTCAAGTAAAAAGTTTTAGTATAAATGTGTCTGTTCTATGACCAACGTGTTGTCTCTGAAAAACTCAGCGCTGACAGTGTGGTGATAATCAGCCTTTCCTTTCACATCATTTAATTGTCCTGCTTGGCAGATGTGTAATAGATAAGATGGAACAACATCTTCCGAAGATCCTAGATTTAAAAAGACATTAGAATGAAATTGTGTTTGAATGGTTTGATATTGCTGCTTCAAAAATTACCCGCAGTGCCTCCTTCACTAGTCTTAATAAGCATGAAACACTTTGCACATATGAGAAGCTGTGATAACTGTAATGGAAGAATAAAAATAACAACCATGTTGTCGAGGAAATGAGTAAGACTCAAACAACAGCACGATTTTTTTAAAGCTAATGTACTGACATGATTCTTGCTGTTCTTGGTTTGTACCAGCATATTTGAATGCACTTATAAGTCTAAATGAAATGTAATGTAATATATATTTTTACATAAATAAAAATCTTTTCTGAATGTTTTTAAAAGTCAGGCTGTTTATATCTTATGGTCATTCCTCACTTAATGCAACTAAAAGCAACAAATTAAAACAATAAGGACTTAAACTGAGAAAATAACTGTAATTCTTTCAGCACACATTCATCTGTGCTGTTGTCATGACAGCGGGGCCGAGGACCTTGAGTCAGCGCAATGAGAAGATCTAGTGGAAATATTAACAGCATGGGAGCCCACATAAGGTGACGTGGGTGTGGTGAGCGCTTCGAAAATATCAGTCACTTTGCTGAGAAACGGAGACCTCGCCTTTTCAAGATAACAAGCCCAAATCGATATCATCTCGGTATTCACAAATTTGTGTCGGAATGCGTGAAGGCAGCACGCTATTCACTGGGCGAGGACACAACCCACATAATAGCTCAGGTCGAGGTGAGCAAACGAGTGGAAAACTGAGACCAACAAAAACCCTCACTGTTTTTCATGTTCTTTAAAATCTGAGATAATAACACATCAGAAACGCTCACGTACAGCATGTTGTCCCCAGCAGTTCATCACAGGAGAGGGCGTGGATGAATAAGATGTAGATGTTAAACAAAATACAAGAAGTGAAAGTGTTTTAAATGTGATTTGTTTGCTGGGTTTTTAAATGAAAGATTTGCGTTAATGACGCAAAAAGAAGAAACCTGCGATAGATTCAATAACTGTTTTCATGTCAAATCAAAGCAACTCAAGTTTAAAGGTGTCTTGGATAACAGTATTCTTGTTCTCTTGCTTTTATTCAGTAGAAACAAATTCAGGTATATAAATCAGAAAGTTATCTCTGGGCAAATTCTCTTGTAGAAAAAAATAAAATCTCATGGAAGTTGAGAGGGAAAATACACTCTGCTTTCTATTGTATGTCAGATTTTTATTTTTATTTTTTTCTCAGTAACCATTACCAACACTAAAAACCCCTTTGTGTTATAGTGAATAAATACTGCTCACCCTTCAGTGAAAAAACTGTTTGCATGAAACATCAATATCACTTAGATGGGAAACAACACTACACTGCGATACTACACACAAAGCCTCAATCCACAGTAGCTCAGGGAGTCGAGTGTGTTTTAGATAGCGGCAGCAAAACAAACACATTTTCACTCGTTGCTTGTTGATTTTTAGCGTTTCCAAGCAAGCCAGTAGACAGAAAAGAAACACAAAGAAGATGGCTAGTTGAGTGTTTTGATCGAGGTAATGAAAATCGGAGGAATGGGGAAGACCAGGTATATCATTATGCTGCTGGTGAGGAGTTGCATTAGAGGATATTTGAAAATACCTCAGCTGAGTCATAGATTTTTACACTTTAATTAAATTAAAAAAGATATTTTGATAAGGATCCTTCATTTTTACTTATGAAAGAACAGTCACCACAGATGCAGACATTTTACAGCTGATAAAAGAATGTTCTCCATCAAATATGTAGCTATAGCAGCTGCTTAGTGAACATGGACTAAGATTCGAAATCACTGCTGAGCTAAGATAAGCACTTGCTGCCTCTAACTTTATAAGTGGACTTTTAAGATTTAACTTCTAATGTAGGGACCACATTTTATTTTTAATCTCTGTAAGTGTCTTAGAGCATTTTTAAAAGCACTACACTGATAGAATGTAATGAAAATAAATATTTCAGGATTCACATGTTTTGCTTGATTTGAGGGCACAGACTGAGCTGCAGTGACTTCTCAACAAATCTGCCGTTAGCTATTATCCAACTGATTGTTCTCATCAGTATCGAGTCCACGGACCGCTGCGAATATTCAACCCAAGCAGACGTCTAATCAACCATAATCAATGACATTATCTGTGATTGTGTGTAGCGCTGTGGATCATCAGTATGTAAATGCAGGGTAATGTTAGTCCCCTCTCAAAAGGTGTGGGTTCACTAAGGGAGAGCTTTCCTCGTGACACTGTATGGATGAGGAGTAGTTTACCTCCAACAGAAAATCATATAAATGAGGTTTGATGGGTTCATACCAGTTGTGGACCATCAGCTTCTGCACAGCCAACAGGGCGTTGTAACGGACCAGCTGGTCCTCGTGGTGCATGTGATTCATCACCAGTTGTTTTCCACCCAGCTGCTCGATCACCCTGAAATGGGAGGAATAAAAGGCATAATGGGTGACAGCCTTTTATTCACACAGAAGGAAAGGTCCTCTTTTCATCTCTGAGGTCATTCAGTGGTCCAGCAGCAGGTAATTTAATCCAGTCCCCTGAAATTTTCTATGTATTTTATGAAGGGTCACTGGGCTTGAAAAGGATGTAGTGCTTTGAAAGGAGGTAGACGGCCTTTATGTTGCAGGGCTTGTGGTAATTCAGTAAATGGTTTGAAAGTAGGTGAAAGTACATGCATTGGCACTGTTACATTCTTTGGACTGATTGTAATCATCATCACAAGGCTGGACATGGGACAATTATTACCCTGAGACTGTGACAACAGCTGGATAGTATTGATTCGAGTGAGAAGAAAAAACATTTGTGATCTGTCACTCACACGGAGTCACAGGCCTGAAGATTATGTAAAGAGAGGATGAGGGAGGTTTTTACAAACATGGCCATCTTCACACACGCACGCACGCACGCACACACAGGATGATGGTTATTGTAAAAACTGCCAGAATCAAGACAAAACATAGGACTCATTTTTCTGATCACTTGTTAATGTCTCACATAACACACATTGTTGTAAACACAGTAACTAATGATGGATGACGGGTCTCCACTCCCTCCCACTGTTGAGAAATCAAGCAAAATTGGGGGAAGGAGCAACAGTATCAAGGTCCCGCTGACACACACTCTCTGCCAGTCATGAGTCACTCTCAGCTGTCAATCACAATGTTTCAACCCATTTCATTGAATCAAATACCCAAAATGAAACTCATGGAAATTAAACACTTGAACAAACATCAGTGTGATACGAACTGACTTAAATGACAGAAACCAACTTTGAGAAGAATTTATTTAAAATCTGTTTTTGACTTTTTTTGTTTTGTCCATGTTTTATCCACTAACATGGAGGAGAAAGGGTTTATGACTTATACTGCGGCCAGCCACCAGGTGGCGATCAATGTGCATTGACTTCACTTTTGGGGCGCTGTCATGTCATCCATCTTTATGCATAGTCCTTCTCGCATAGTTAAACTTTTTATGTTGTAGAATACGTTTTATGTAAATATTTGTATGGTTGATGATCAAATAAATACAAAAAAGCAAGCTACACATTCAAGTGGTGCTGCTCACTGTACCACATGTGATTTCATATCATACTGAAAGACACAAAATCTTTAAGCCTCGATAGGATTTGGTCTTCAGTGAAAAATGTCTCACCGTTTGCCACGTGGGTAATGTCGCACATACTCTCCAATGTCGTGAGCCGCAACTGCGATGACTTGAGGATCATCGGACACCTCCAACAGCCTCGTCAAGATCCTATTAAAGATGGGCGGACAAAAGGAGAGGCATTCACATGGTGCAGTCTCTCTGCATCAAAAGCAAAGATTATGTGCTCTGAAAATTAGACAATTCCAAGATGCTCCGCTGCAAATCCTTAACTGAAAAAAGACTCATGAATGAAATTGATTAGCTCAGATTATTTTTTCATTAAGAGGTGGTGGATGTAGAATTGTACAGATTGCTCAGTAAATCAAGGCTCATGTTCTTTTAAAACTGAGATAAAATCGAAGAATATGACACACAAGGATCCTCTGAAAAAGGGAAACCTCAAGATTCCAAGTGAGACAAAGCGAGGAGGAGATTTAGTGAAAGAGACAAATAAATGGAGAGCAATTTAAAACAGGGATGTTGTCTAATACAGAGAGGACGGTGATGAGACAAAGAGACAGATAAATCAATTTTTTTTAGGACCATGGAGAAAATAAGAAGCCTTGCAACAGAATTTGCTTTATCTTACTTCAGCAGCTCGTAGTTCTTCTCGTTCAGACGGACGGCATTCTCTCGCCAGAACTTCTCAGACTTGTGGACTGGACTCCATTCCAGGCGTCCAGACTTGAGTTCAGAGCTGTACTCATCGAATGAGCTGTAGATAGAAAGAAAAAAATAATTCTTTAAATGATTTTCAATTAAGTGAAGAGCTCAGTCCACGGATCATCATAGTTTTTTGTTCCTAGGAAAAAGAGGAATTTATATTTTCTCTCAATCATTCAAAAGTTACAGAAAAATGTATTTAGAAAACAAACTGGCCTCATATGAAAGTGACAGATAATAATAAATCAGCACCATAATATATTTAATTCTTTTAAAATACTTGTTTCAGGTCTTTTAGTTGATAAATAAATATTCAGAAGTTATTATTCGTGCCATGGAATCCACTCGGTACCTCAGATCCTGCACGCTCTCTCCCAGCCTCTCCAGCAGGAATTTAATGTCCTCGGTGATGTCCTCGTCGTCATACTTCTGCTGCTCCAGGTTCTCGAGCTGCTTCAGCACCTTGCACTGAATCATGGCCAAAGCGTACTCCTGACGAGTCTCCCGCTCTGACGACTTCTCGAGGAGATTCTGTCAGAGAACAACAGTAATAACTCATCGTATCTGATCAGTGTGTTTGAGGAATTTGATATCTACTACTTCAAACAATCAAAGAATAATAAATAAATATCCCTCTGTGACATTATGTTGGGAAATTTTCAGTATTTTATTGCGTATGTAGACTAAATTAATTAATTTATAATATATTTATAATTTATTTTAATGTTTTTTCAGTTTCACATAAATTTATTCTATATACACTGAATATATACTCTCTGAATATATACACTCTGAATATATACACTGAATATATACTCTCTGAATATATACACTCTGAATATATACACTGAATATATACTCTCTGAATATATACACTCTGAATATATACACTGAATATATACAGTTAGAGAAGCTCTTATTCATATCACACACATGACTGATATGCAAGTAGACTTTGCTATGAATCCAGGGTAGATGAACCATAATGATAAACCGGTGAGTGAGCTGCGAAGGGGATGAGTGCAGAGCTGTGCAGTAACAAGAACACAATGTTCAAGTATTGTAAAAGCTTTAGAGTCAGGATCCCTGGGATAAAGTCCCAAAAACTCTCAGAACATAATGGAGAGAAAATTCTAGCGGCAAAACTTTGGAGTGACACTAAAGGGTTGTCAGACAAAGACTGATTCTCTGATTGAACCCTTTCAGCCGGCATTCAGGGCAGAGCTGCAGCGGTCTACAAATATCTTTTTTTCTAAAAAGAGCCTGTTATGTGTTCACAGCATTTGACTCAAATAGAGCTAAAGTTTAGAATCTGTTTATCTTTAATGGGCAATGTGTAAAAACAAGTGTGATGTTTGCTGGAGCAGGATTGGAACTGGAACAACATTAAGAACCAGCTTTAGAACGGGTGAACACATTATAAACACATCAGTACTGCCTTTGAAGATGGGTTTAAAGACTTCCAGATGGTCTGGATGATTTAAGTCACATTGTCGGTCCCCGGTGGTGAGCAGAATTATTTACATAATTAGGACATTTGGGAAAAATAGCAATATGCAAAACATTGGTGAGGATATTCAAACATTGGTGATTGATCCCAACTTCTTCAAAAATCTACATGACAACATCTCTTTAGTTACAACAATTAACACAACAGTTCTCTAGCCATCAATTTAATTCAAAATGCTATACATTTTTTCTTTATCGATATCCAATCCTGTATCAGTAAAGTGCTAGAATTAAATTATTACCTGAAAACTTTTGAAAACAATTTTGTACAAGTTTTATGGTTCTGAGTTTTGCCAGAACATAACTTTTAGTCCAGTGTTTCTCAAACTTGGTCAACACAGCAATCAATCCTTCGTACATTTTCATACTGCATGTGTTCTTCTTCAGTGACAATTGTTCAACAACAAACCTTTTTTTTCTCTGACCACTGATCACCGGGATACATTTTTAGAAAGGTTATGTAACTGTGGTCTTAGCCTCTTTATGCCTGCACATTCAGGATGATTAATAAAATGTTATTAATGGTGTTTATTACTCAATTCTTTCATTTTATACATCTGAAAGAAGAACATGAAATGTACCTTATAGGTAAATGATACCTTGTTTTTATGTGGTAAATTGTTAAACCAAATTTCCAGTAAAATATGAGAAATCTTGCGGAACCCTTGGGAACCACTGGTTTTAACAAAGCACCACAATATGGAGGAGCAATTCAGACAGTGGGGTATTATAATTTTCAGTGTGAGAGTGGCATTTAAGCAAAACGCTGAACATTTGAAAAATTCTCCACATACCCTGAAGGCAGCCAGGATGATTCGAGTGACCTTCTCCTTGACAGACTCCTGGAGGATGTCGGACAGGGCTGGCACTACGTTGTAGCGTCTCAACTGTTCACAGAGCTGAGGACTGAAGGCCAGGAGCCAAACACAGAAGATCATCTGGTACTGGAGCTGGAAGCCACACTTGTTGCTCAGCACCGCTGTGATGCTTAAACAGAATAAAAATAAATGAATAAAACCATAAAGGGGAAAAAAATGCAGAGTGCTAGGAAAGACATTTGCATCTACCACCCGTTTACTAATAGAGGAGCTTTCAGAGCCATGTGCTGCTTATCCATTATCTCTGATAATGGATGAGAATGTAATGTTCCGTCAGTCAAGTCAGACAAGTCGCTCAAAATACAGGGAACAGTACTAATAACTACAGCGAGTCATGCATTTGCAGAAATAGCTGGTAAGTGCAGAGATGTGGATCTAATATATCTGCAATAATTATTTGATCTTAATGAATTGGTAAGGCCAGTTTTAAAAAGCTATACTAAAAAGGTCATCTGCACTTTGACAGTCAACATTGGGACAAGATAATTATTTTGTTTCGTAGTTTCCAGTGTCTCACACTGGCCCGATTACCCTCTGCATTTAGATTTGTATCCAGAATACAATGCATCCATGTCACATGAGAGAATATAAGACCCTGTCAATGAAGAACTGAGGAACTTTAATTCAACCATCTGAATGTCAAAACCAAATAATCGTACCTGTCACATCTAAAGAGGGTTTTTTTTTTTAATGATGAGCACTCTTCTTTTTCTTCAGTGGATTTTAATGGGGATTGAAATTTTTTTTTTTT